GGGGGAGGGCCATCAGTGACCAGGTTTTGTCAGCTCTACCTTTACGCTCCCTCTTTGTTACCACTGCCGCTACACTAGCACAAGCCCTATTATTATTAGCCTGTTTTACTGCAATTCCCTCTTAACACAGTCTCTTCCTTTCTTTGTCTCATCCTTCCACTACATTCTTCAGACCACTTTCAAAATAATCTCCCTTATCATGGCCCTAAACCCCATCAGTTTTTTCCTATTGCTTACTAAGTAATAATCAAAGTGCTTAGCTTGTCATTCAAGAAGCTTCCACCATCTGGAAGCACCCTATCTTTCTGGCTTAATTCATATCACTCCTTTCCAGATATATTAAGGCAGGTGGGCAATGCAACGAAGAGAGCAGTAGACTTAGATTCAGGAAGTTCCAAGTTCAGAAGTCAGAGTTCCAATCCTGCCTAACATATTTACTTAGTTGTGTGACTCTGGACAAGTCACTTAACCTCTCTCAGTCTCTGTTTCTCCATCTGTAAAATGTGCATAATAACACCTCAAAGGATTGTGAAGACCAAATGAGACAATAATATATATGTAAAGTACATTGTAAATCTTAAAGAGCTATATATTATTACTATTATGTTACACTAAAAAAAAAAAAAAAGAGGATGGACTATTCACTATTCCCCAAACTACTCTTTGTTTTTCCATCTCCATGCTTTTGTTCATGCTGTCCTTATTCTTGGAATATCCTTCTTCCCCATCTTTATCTGTTGAGTTTCTACACTTCCATTAAAGCAGCATTTTTCAAACTTTTTCATCTTCAAGACCCCTCTATACTCTTAAAAATTATTGAGCACTACCCCCTCCAAGAGCTTTTGTTTGTGCTGGCTATATCTATCAATGTTTACCATATCCAAAATGTAAATGTCTTAATAATAATATGAAAATAATTTTGACCTTGCAGACTCTCAGGGGTCCTCCTCACCTCCTCCTCCTTTTCTTCCTTCACCTCCTTCTTTTTTTGAGACTGGGTCTCACTCTCTTGCCCAAGCTGAAAATGTAGCAATCGCTCACAGGCCTGACCCCACTGCCAATCAGCATTTGACCTGCTTTGTTTCTGACATAGGCTGCTTCGCTTCTTCTTGGACAGACTGGAACCCCCCTCTCCCCACACCTAGGGGCTCACCATATTGGTGTTGTACATAGTATGGACACCCATTTGACTTTAGCCCTACTTCAGCTCAGAACCCCTCAGCACAAATGATCTACCAGCCTCAGGTTCCCCAGTAATAGGGATTATAGGTGCCATACCCAGTCTAGGCCTCTAGAGTAAATCACTTGTGATCATACGATTTAGAACCAGAAAGGATTGTAAAAAAAAAAAAAAAAAAACCATATAATTTAATGCCTTCATCTATAGAGGAGGGAAAAGTTCCAAAGAGATTAAGTGATTTGTTCTAGGTCACACAACTAATAAGTAGCAGAGCTAGCATTCAAACACAGTAACTTTAAGTCCAAATTCAGTGCTCTTTCCAGTACTTCAGGCTGTGCCTTTTTTAAAATTAATTAATTAATTTTGATTTATCAACAATCACTTCCATATGCTTTTGAGTTTAAAATTTTTCTTCCCCTTCCTCCCCACCACCCTCCCCAAGACGGCGCACAATCTGATATATTCTATACATATATATTCCTATTAAACATATTTTCACATTAGTGATGTTGTAAGTAAGAATTAGAACCAATAGGAGGAACCACCAAGAGGAAACAAAACTCAACAGAAGAAAAAAAATAGCAAATAGTATGCTTTGATCTGCATTCAAACTCCATAGTTCCTTCTTTGGATGGGGATAGCATTTTCCATCACGAGGCCTTTAGAGATGTCTTAGATCCTTGTACTGCTGGGAAGGGTTAAGTTTATCAATATTAGTCATCGCACAACATGGCAATTATTATGTACACCATTCTCCTGGTTCTGCTCACTTCACTTAGCATCAAGTCTTTCCAGGTTTTTCTGAAGTCAGCCTGTTGTTCATCATTTCTTATAGCTATATCTTTTTTTTTCTTACTGTAAAATGGGGATAATAAAACTTGAATTTTATTTCTCATGTAGTAATTGTGAGGATCAGATGTGTAACATATGAAAATTAAACTGATGAACTGGGAGGCCTGGATGCCTGAGGGAACATCCATATGTGTATTAAAATATTGAAGTACCCAAATATGCAAGCAAAGTAGACCCAAAGACTCTAAAATAAATGTTAAAATTCTCAAGAAAGGGGAAAATATGACCTAAGGGCCAGTAGATAACTGCAAACAAGATTTGAATAGGGTGATGACATTTGTAGATGTAATGAACCTCAAAGAAAGAAAGGATGCTCAGTCATGGTGTCATGGGAAGGTCTAGAAGTGGCAGTGAGAAACAAGTAGTCTACCTGTTCCTCTTCCTTGCCCAGTGTGCCAAGGAGAGTGAGATGAGCAACCTGTACCAGAGAGGCTGGCCAGGGACAGAGAAGCCAAGTTTCCATGAATAAGGAAAAATGGGAATAAAGGAATAAGTGCTTAAGCATCTTCTATGTGCCAAGCCCTGTGCTAAGTACTTTACAAACATTACCTTATTTGATCCTCACAACAACCATGTGTGGTAGGTGCAATTATGATTCACACTTTACAGTTTAGAAAACTGAGGTAAAACAGAGTGCAAAAAAATTGTTGTTCATCTTTTGTTTTGGAAGAGGACCAATGACATCATCATGTCTTGACTTGGAAGTGAATTGGATTTAAGTGAGGCAGAGTTGCACAAAGTCGTCAGCTTCATTCTGTCTTCCAGAGACATCAAAGTCCAGTGGCAAGACAAAAGTCATGACAACTGGCCTGGGATGCAGTGGGTGACCTTGGCATCTTGGTTGCCTGACCAAGCTCTTCACAGCACCTGCTTCAGCCACTTTCATGGCTATTGGAACAAATTGTTCTCATCGACCCATTCCACTGGGGGAAGTCTTCACATGCTTGGGGTAGACATCCCCCAAACTCACCAATGGGTTTGAGGCCTGTCAGTTACCCTTAATTTGGTTTAGCCCTTCTGTTTTGATGGTTTTACTGGGGTGTGGCCATTGGGCATGCTATTGTTTCTTGAAGCCACAGGTGAGAGTTGGGTGGCAGGTATATTGGGGTGTTCAGGGAGGACTAGCACCTCTGATGTGAGAGCTTGCCAAGTCCTTTTCAGAGCTGCTCATCCACCTTTGGTGCAAAAGAGTATGAAGTGAAGAGATCTAGGCCAAAGAAATATTTAACCATAGAATAGGGGTTCCAGAAGGCACAATGGAACTAGAGAACAGAACAGGATAAGAACTTAGGAGGCACAGGACAGGCATGAAAAGATCAGGAAAGAATATAAGGGGTGGGGAGTTTTCACTTGGAACACCCATGATAGAATTACAGAATTTAGGAGATGAGAAGATAGAAATTTATTGACCATCTGAAGGGAAATCACTATATGAGAGGGGATTCCATCCTTGGTCCTGTGATAATTAAGGGTAGTAACAATTTGATTTCTTCCAAACAAAAGGGAAGAATAGATATAGTTTTGGGGATCTGAGTTGGCAAATAACTGGCAACTGGCATCCCTGCATCTAAATGAAGATACCCAATATATGGAGTGGGCATTAGGCTCGGATGGCTATAAGGTGCCAGTAACATAGATCCTCTGGTGTCTCAGGTTAGAAAAGCTGTGTGTTGGGAACTCACTATCTTTCCCCTCCAAACCCAAACCTCTCTGTTTCTGACAAGGGTACCACCATCCTTTGAGTCATTTAGGAGGCCAACTTTGGAATTGTCCTTCATGCCTCTCTCTCACTCCTCATAGCCATTTGCTCTCCAGGTTTTGTCTTTTCTACCTCCATAGTATCATTCACACGTCCCCTTCTCTCCACTCACATAGGAACCTTGGCAAGACCACACCCTTTTCATTGATCTCCCTGCCTCAAGTATCTCCTCTCTCCAATCCATTTCCCAAATAGAAGCCAAAGTCATATCTCTAAAGCCTAAGTCTGACCATGTCACCATCCTATTTAAAAAGTTCCAATAACTCCAAATTATCTCTAGAAAAAATATGCAAATTCCTTAGCCTGGTAGTTAAGCTCCTTCACAATCTGACTCCAACCTACTTTTCAAGGATTATTTCATTCTTATTCCTTTTATACACTCTGTGATCTCATCAAATTATACCACCAATTGTTCCCCTAAACATGAAATTAAATGTCTTCTCTACCTACATTTGCCCAAACTGTCCCCTATGTCAATGGGATAATTATCTTGTATTTGCTAACCTATGTGCACAGTTATCCCTTCCACATTGCAGGGTTAGGATCTGGAAAATCTGTGTAAAATTTTTGGCCTTCTCTTCATATCAGAGAAGTCTGAATTTTTTATTTTTCTTTAATAAGGTGCTTATAGTACCTTATTATAAAATTTGGGCTGATAATATATAATACTATACATATTTTATGCATTTCTGAGTTTCTAAACTTTTTCCATGTCATCTGCTGGCCTTTGTGTGTCTGTGGCTTCTGCAAAACTCCCATTTAATTTCTTATGCCAACCCACAATATATTACAACCATGATAGGAAAAGTTGTGATGTGAAAGGTATAACTACACTATAGACCCCAAGTAGAATGTGAGCTCCTTGAGGGCTCAAAAAAGTGGTTTGCTTTTATCTATGTACCGTCAGTGTGTAAGCACAGGTTAGGTGCTTAATGTATTTTTAATTGACTTGAATTAAAGAATAGAGAGAGAAAATAAGGATCCTGAGAGAAATTTTAACTACTATCCAATCTTGGACAATGCCAAAAAAAAAGTTATTTATTGTACAATATAGAAACTTGTAGTTAAAAAAAATATATAGTAATGTATTGGTCAGATGGCTTCTTTCCTTATGCTATGATAATTCAGAAGCTCTCTATAATTTTGCTGTTAATAAGTCATAATCATAACCCAAAATTATGTGTTCAGAAGATTTATTGTTCATCATACCTGTTGCTTAGAGTCACTTGAAGCTCTCCCTCTTCTCTCTTTAATTTATCCCTCGTTCGAGAAAGAACAGACCTTTCTAGGTCTCCCACAATATTTTCTAACTTTGATGAAGTCATTTCAAACTCTGTCCAGCAAGAATCAGTTTCATTTTTTAAAACCTGAAGTAGGATGAAAATACTGATTTAGTATATATTTTAATAGATACATAATTATAATCCCATATTCCAAAATTATATATTTTGCTAACTGGGCATAGTGGCAAAGTTAGCAAAACTCCATATGAATAATGACAATGTATAAGTGAGTTGTGTTTCAGTGCAAAATGGGATAAATTCTGCTCTCACTTCATATAAACCAATAGTAGTGAACAATGTCTTTCCAAGTGTATACCATTATCTTTTCCTTGAACATAAGACAAAGAACATGATTTGAAAGAATTATTAGAATATGCATTGACACATTCTATTCTTTTTCCCCTTAAAAGCAGGTCTATGTAGTATAAACTAAAAAGAACTTGGATTGTATTGAAACTGATATTAACCAGATGAAAAGTGAATGAAATTAGTTTGTAAATACTAACTACATTTAGGGTGTACAGGAACCAGATTGTACTGGCTCATAAGAGCCAACTGTTAAATTTTCAGTGTGACCATTTACACCTCGCAAATCAGCAAATGCTACAAAATTAAGGCTTGATTTTTTAAAATTGTCTAGATTTAAGAAAGTGATGGAGAAAATGTTAACATTAGAGATTAAACTTAAAGGTGTATCATGCACACTTAATTTTTTTTTTGGAAAGCCAGTTGTGAAACATTTACCAGCATACCCATAGCTATATCCTCCCTCTCTCCCTCTCCCTCTCCCTCTCCCTCCCTCCCTCCCTCCCTCTCTCTCTCTCTCTCTCTCTCTCTCTCTCTCTCTCTCTCTCTCTCCTCCCCACCCCATGTGTCTTTCTCCTTTGCAGAGGGTCCACACAATATGCTATGCAAGGAACTTCCTCTAGGTCTTATTCATTCATCCACTCCAGAAGCATTATTTTGTACCAATTATACTGTATGAGAAATTATGTAGGACAAGGACTCCTCCACTCTTTCCACATGACTGACTACCTGTTATTCTTCTCTTTTTAAATAGTGTTTTACAGGTTTTTGATAATTTTTGTTTTGTGAACTTGACAAACACCAATAAATGTAGATACTCCCTTATACCAAAAAAAAAAGAAAGAAAAGAGGGGCTATATTTGAAATAGCAAATCTCTATTATGTATAGCTTGTTTTTTTAAATATATATAAAAATATGATGCTAGTTTCAAAGTTGTCCAGTTTCTCTGTCTCCTTCTAAACTTTTTTCTGTCTCTTCTGTGTATTTTTTAAATCCTTCTTTTCTTCTTTTTTGAGGAGCATCACTACCACTAATGCTCCTTTCTCAACTAAATCCCCTCCTCCCATAAAAGAAACCCTTCCCTTGTAACAAATAAGCATATCCAGGAAGAACAAATGAACCTTCTTTTCCAAGTAAAGTCAACAAGCATTTATTAAACACTTACTATGTTCCAGACACCATGCTAGGTGCTGGGGAGACAAAGAAAACCAAAACCAGTTCCTTCCCTCAAGGACCTTACAATCTAACGTATCATACATTTCTTAAATAATCTCTTTAACCTTGCTTCTCACATGCAGCTACAAGTTGCCAATAAGTTGCAATCTATCTGTGCCAATAGTAGCAATAAATTGTTATCCTGAAGTTCCTTTTGTATACTCCCCTTGACCAAAACTCACTTGTGAAGTAAGATCACATAAGAGATATACTGCAACAAAGCAGAATATCATGTGAGTCAATATTTGGAGAAGCCAGTCAATTCCTCAACAAATAGGAGAGGTCACATGAAATACTATAAGTCTATAATCATGGACAGTGGTAGTGTCTTTTCCCTAACAAACAGGAAAAAAAGATACTGATTACAACTATTTACCTGTAGATCTGTCAATTTATCTTGTAAGCAAGAGATATTCCTTTCCTTTTCACTAGGAAAATCAGAAAGAACTCTGACTTTGTTGATTTGTAACTGCATCTCTAGATTATCTCTCTGTGCATCATACCTAGGAAAGAAGAATTGACATTAATGAAGAAGGGATTTTATTTTTCACTGAGGCTAAAACACCCCCATAATACTTTAAAATGAAAATATCACCCTCAGTTACACATAAGGAAATCCCATATATAAGTTGAGAACTACATGTTCGAGGAAATAGACTTCTTACAAACTTATGAATAAAGCATAATAAAAGCATATCAAAATATAAAGCCTTCATAATTTATATCTTGTTCAAAAGCTGTGCTTTCAGAAAGGACAGAAGGATTATTAAGCCCCTACTATGTGCCAAGCACTGTGCTAAGTGCTTTACAAATATTACTGCATTTGAGCCTGACAACAAGCCTATAATTATCTCCATTTTACAGATGAGGAAAATGAGGCAGAGCAGAGTTAAGAGACTTGCCCAGGGTCACATAGCTAGGAGGTATCTGAAGCTAGATTTGAACTCAGGTCTTCCTGACTCCAAGCCCAGTGCTGTATCTACTGCTCTAACTCAATACCTCATTGCTTCTGCAATAGGCAGTTTATTTGAAATAATTTACCTTTCCAATAACTTCTTAAAAGGCACATCACCATCCTTCTCTACATGCCTTTCATCTTCCTGATGCTTTAATATGCTGAAATATTCTAAGTCAAAGCTAGCACATCCAGAAGCCTAAAAGAAAAGAAAAAACATTCAACACAACCTTTTCCAAATACCAATCATCTCCCAAAACTGCCACCTAGACCAGTTACTGATTCTTTATGCCAGTTAGGAGTTATAACAACATCATTTAAGATTCTCAGCTGAGACTCCACACTGCAGTAGCAAGGAAGACACCTGCTTGTAACTGGGGAGTCAGCAAAACAGAGGAACTGCCCTCAAAACATTTTAGAGAGAGGCTTCTGTCTACAGCCTCAGAGAGAAAATAATAATAAAAACTAGCATTTATATAATACTTCAAGGTTTACCAGATGCTTTACAAATAGTATCTCCTTTTGGTCCTCACAACAACCCTGGAAAACAGATGTTATTATTATCCTCATCTTAGTAATAATAATAACTAATAACATTTGTGTAATAGCTAACATTTATATAGCACTTACTATGTTCCAGGCACTGAGCTTTGCACTTAATAATTATTATCTAATCGATCCTCACAACAACCCTAGGACGTAGGTACTGTTGTTACCCCCATCTTAATAATAACTAATATTTATATAGTACTTTCTATGTGTGAAGTACTATGCTTAGTATTTTACTATTATTATCTCATTTGGTCCTGACAACAATCCTATGAGGCAAATACTGTTATTACCCCCGTTTTACAGATGAGGAAACTAAGACAAAGGTTAAATGACCTGCCCAGGGTCACATAGCTAGTAAGTATCTGAAGCCAAAACTGAACTCAGGAGGAGGAGTCTTCCTTATTCCAGACCCAGCACTCTATTCACTGTGCCACCTAGCTGCCCCATAAATAATGAGTGTATATTATATCTTAGTATATATTTGAGTTAATCTCCTATACCATGAGCATAATAATACTATGATAGCAATTGCTGATGTTCATGATGATAACATATAAGTTATTGTGAGAGAATTCCAGATGAGAAAATAAAAATTTATTGGGTTCTATGGGGCTTTCTTTTGCCTATTTCAATAAAATTTACTAGGTTACCTCTGAAGGTGGCAAGTTTCCCCTGTCTCAAGGTTTTTAAATGAAGGCTGAAGGACTATTTTTCAGGTACTTTATGAAGAGGATCTTTTTTTTTTTCAGACTAGATGACCTTGGAGGTCCCTCTGACTCTGAAATTCCTTGACTCTGAAATGTAGTACCTCAATTAACCAGAACCCTAATTTACCAACCATTCTTGATGAAAAAGAATCTACTTTATTGAAAAGTTTATCTACAGTGTATATTATAGTATTGAAGGCTTTCTTCACTAGACTTTCTTCTAAAAATCAGTTAGGTGATGCAATGGATAGAGTTCTAGACTTAGGGTTAAGAAGATCAAAATTCAAATCCTGCTTCAGACAGTTACTAGCTATGTAAAGTTGGGCAAATCATTGAACCATTCGCAGCCTGTTTCCTCATCTGTAAAATGGAGATAATAATAGCACCTACTTTATAGGGTTATTGTGAGAATCAAGTGACACTAAACATGAAAAGTGTGTTGTAAACCTTGGTATCATCATCATCCAGATAACATACCTCTTCAGGTAACGTTGCACCATTGGGTTTGGAAGGTTGTACCACCTTTCCAGCATCCCTTCCACCATTTTCAGATGCACTTAGAGGCTTCCTAGGGAGTAAGAGAAATTTGCATTTAAAAGAGTGCCATAAACCTCAAACTCTAAAAGGTAATACCGTCAATGTTAAAATGCTATGTAACTTATTTTGCTATAGGTTTTGGAAGAAAATGGTTTCACAAATGTTTTCCCTGAAAGTCCTCATGTTCTTATGAAATACCAACTTTTTATCAGACATCTGAGTGTTTTCAATAAGGGCCTGGAGCATCTTATAAGTCTCAGAAGCGGTATTCTTAATTCCATTTTGTCTCTCTCCATATTCTATAATTGTTTTCCTTATTTCTTGTCGACTTTCCTCTGAAGTCAGCTCTTCACTCAGCTCCCTCAGGGCTTCCATGTGGTGATCAAGCTGACACAGGATCCCTTCATCAGAGAAGCAAGCCTAATTAAAGAAATTAAACAGCAGACAAGGATTCATTGTGAGTCAACATGATTTTTTCCATAACGATTAGAAACTAGTGGATTTTCATAATGATGAGAAGCTGTTATCTTATTTCAGAATTTTTTTTATTTTTTACTGATACTCTTTGTTTTTACATCACATTACTATCTAAATATGTCTTTCTTCCCTTACCCAGTAAGTCATCCCTTGTAACAAAGAATAAAAGAAGTCTGACAATGTAATAAGGAGCATTAAGATTTATAAAGCACTTTACATTTATTATCTTATAAACCTGGGAAGACTTATAGGAACTGATGCAAAGCAGAGTGAGCAGAACCAGAAGAACAATGTGCACAGTAACAGCAATAGTGTAATGACGACCAACTGGGAAAGACTTAGCTACTCTGATCAATACGATGATCCATGACAATGCCAAAGGACTCATGATGAAAATTGCTATCCAGCTCTAGAGAGAGAACTGATGAACTCTGAATGCAAACTGAAGCATGTTTTTCACTTTATTTTTCTTGCTTCTTTTTCACAACACGGTTAATGTGGAAATGTTTTGCATAACTTCATATGTATAATTGGTATCATATTTCTTGCTTTCTCAATGGGTAAAGGAGGGAGTGGATGGAGGGAGAGAATTTGGAAGTTAAAACAAAAATTTTTTAATTAAATTATATTTTAAAAAATTTATTTTCTCACTTGATCTTCATACCTATCATGAGAAATAGGTACTATTATTAGCCCTATTTTACAGATAGGGAAACTGAGGCACACAGATGTTAAGCAACTTGCCCAGCGTCACATGGCTAGTAAGCATCAGAGGCTGAATTTGAATGAAAGTCTGTCCTGAATGCTAATCCAGCCCTTAATGCATTGGTCCACTTAGTTGTGTACCAACATTGGCAGTATTCTAAAATTATAGTCCCATATCTTGGCAAAGGGAAGGAGGGGATGCCATTGTATTATAAAAACAACAAGGGACTTTTGAAAGTAATAACAGCAAGCATTTATATAGTTCTTCAAGGTTTACACAACACTTTACAAATATTATCTCACCTGATCCTCATAACAACACTGAGAGGAAGGTGCTATAATTGTCCCCATTTTGCAGATGATGAAACTAAAGCAGAGAGAAGTTAGTTCAATTCGCCAGGGTCACACAGATAGTAAGTGTCTGAGGTTAGATTTGAACTTGGATCTCCCTAACTCCAAATCCAGTCTTCTATCTACTGCACCACCTAGCTGCCTCTAATATCTCAGTCTCTCCTGAAACAGTTTAAGCTTCGATGGAAGACAAAGTCTCCAGAACAAAAGTGCCACATTTTTTAAAGAACTTTTTAAAGAATTTTTTAAAGCCTTTAAAGAAGGCTTCTGATATCCACCTTTTGAATTCTAAGAGTCATAGAGTCCTATGTGATTCCATAAGGTTATCATTACTCAGAAATTAGAATGCACTACAAAGAGGATAATGCAGATGAGTCCATTTATTTCACCTCAACAAACATTTTTTAAGCACCTACTATGTGCCAGGCAGTGTACTAGGTTCAGACTTAAAAAAAAAAAGAAACAGAACAAAAGAGTTCCTGCCCTTAAGGAGGTTACATTCTACTGGGAGTGTACAACATGCATATATACAATATGCACATGCAAATATAAAATAATGGTGGTTGGGGGAAGGGACACCAGCAATTTAGGAGCTCAGAAAAGACCTCTAATAGAAAGTGGCACTTAAGCTGAGCTTTGTAAGGCAGCAAGAGGTCTCAAACAGTCAAAGGAGTAAGAGCATCTCATGTACGGAGCTCTCCTATACAAAGACAGAGGGAGGAGGTAGAATGTACATGGGGAAAAATAAGTAGTCTAGTTGGGCTGGAATGTAGAGTACATGAGGCTGAATAAGGAGCCTCAATAGATAGGTTAGAAACAGATTTTGAAGAATTTTAAATGTCAGAGGCATTTGTATTTATTCTAGAAGCACCTGGGAGCCATAGACATTTCTTGAGCAGAGAAGTGACATAGGCAGACCTGTGTTTTAGATCAATTTGGTAGTTGTGTAAAAGATGAGTTGAGGAAACTGGAGGTGGTACGGGGAAGAGCCCAGATGCTCAGAGTCAATAAGGAGGCTATTGTAATAATCTGAGCAAGAGGTGATGGAGGCCTAAACTGGACTGGTCGTGTGATGGATAAAAGATTGGAAACAATGTCACACAAGTATTGCCTCTTAATTGGCCCTCCTGACTTTTCTCTTCCCCTCTCCAATCCATTCTCCACATAGTTGTCAAAGTGACTAACCTAAGACAAAGGTCTAACCATGTCATTCCCTTACTCAACAAAACCAGTGGCTCTTTGTCATTCCTAGAATCAAATACAAACTCATCTGCCTGGAATTTGAAGCCTTTCAAAACCTAACTCCAATATCATTTTCCAGCTTTATTATTCATTGCTCCCCTTCAGATACACTATAATTCAGCCAAAATGGTCTTCTGGCTGTTCTTCACACATGACCCTCCATCTCCTATCTCTCTGCATTTGTATAAGTTCTGCCACAGGCCTGAATTATATTCCCTCCTTACCCAAATCTCTTAGAATCCCTAGTTTCTTTCAAAGTTCAGCTCAAGTCTCACCACAGGACCTTCACTGATCCCATTAGCTCCTAGGGCTTCTCCTCAAAATTACCTTACATTTCTTTGTTTATGTTTTATACATTCTTATATTTGTATATCTCATTAATAGAATGTAAGCTTCATGAGGGCAGGGACTGTGTCCTTTTTTGTCTTTGTATTTCTAGTGCCTAAAACAGTGCCTGGCACATAGTAGGTGCTTAATACTTTTTAACTGATAGTATAGAGGAGATTCTCTGTCAGATGCAGCCTGAATTAACTGGCTTATGATATCCCTTATATATCTGAATTAACTGGCTTCTGATATCCACCTTTTGAATTCTAAGAGTCATAGAGTCCTATGTGATTCCATAAGGTTATCATTACTCAGAACCTTAAAAAAAATTCTCCTATTAACTAGCTCCTACAGTACTGGCAGTTACTTACTGCGAGTGACTTTTCTACAACATAAAAGGGTTTTGAAAGTGTAAAGACTGGATTCTTGAGGACCCAATATAAAATAACTAAATGTGTGCCACTGTTTATATATGTGTGGACTATTCAATGAAAGTACTATGCAAAAATTCAAAATTGATTTTGGACTAACTTTGTAAGTATTCACAGAAATGACCCTTGAGGTGGGGGATAGTTTAAAAAAATCTGTTCAGCTTGACTTGTTTGAATCTTTGTTCTGACATGCTATTCTTCACAAATATTTCAAGGCTAAGTCTGGTGCTTAATCAGTAAAAGCCTACAGAGCATATCATGCTTTCCTAGAATACTTAGATCCTTCAAAGGTCACTGTGTCTATTTCAAAAAACCATAACAAGTATTATATCTCCTATATAACTAGCAAATCAAGGGAAACTAAACATCAATTATTGAATGAATTTTTAGTACCAATAATAAATGAAAGAATTTAGGGCAGTGGCAGAATTCCAAACTGGAATTGATAAACCTACAGAAAGACAGACCTGAAAATGATTTCCCTAGATCATTTAATCCAAACTCATGCCATTAGATAGAAATAAATCGGGATGGATACCAATGCACAGAAAGGGAGAGCTTACATGTCAAGGCATGGTCTCAAACACAATTAAAATGTTTAAATAGGAATCAGTCTACCTCATGTTCCTCAATGAGTCCCTTGGTCTTCCCTTTACTGAGTAATTTTTTCTCTTTATTTAGTTGCTTTTCAAGTTTTGATATGTTTTCAGTAAGCTTTTTTTCAATTTCAATTTTTATTCGATGAATATATAAACATATTTCTTGATGAAGATCCTGTAAAATAAAATAAACATGATGCTTTTCTCCCAGCTCCACTCATCAAATTTCTATCCATACTTTAATAAAAGTCAGCTGGAATGTAACTCCCATCCATGATCACTTTCTCCAGCTAGAAGTAACATCTCCTCCTCTGGATTTTTTTGCGTAGAAGACTTTATGCCTCTATTTGTACCTTTACATTCTAACCCATAGCGTAGTTATCTATGGACATGTCTTACCTCCCTTTCTGAGTTGTAAGCTTTTCACAGACTGGTCAGGGTATCTTCCTTAACTTGGTACTTGTAAATTTAAGTCATTCAATAAATACTTATTAAATGAATGAATGAACAGATAAATCCTAGAAACTAGCTTAGTCTAAACTGTTTGCTCCCAGTACAAATAAAAAACATGTCATGATTATCACGGGGCAAAGAGGGAACTAAAGTTTTCATCCCCATATCTTTAGGAAGGATGACACAATACCATTCCAAATAACAAAAATAATTTTGTTCTATTTTTAAAAAATAAAGAAATGTGCTTCTAGCCAATACAATGACATATAAATCTTATGGATATCTCACCTCCCACTCTTTAGAGAGCTCTCTGCTCGTTTCTTCTAAAGATTGCTTTTCATCAGGAGACACAATATTTTTTAGTTGTTCAGTAGCTTTCAAAAATTTGTCCAAGCTTTTACTGCTTAAAATGGATAGAATATCCTATAAACAAAGTACATAACAAACACATGAAAACTACATTATGTGCAAAAGATAAGAAAGAAAGGAACACCAGTAAAGCATTAAACCACAGAAGAAACAGAAGAAAACAAAAGGAAATTTAGAAAAGGATACAAATAAGTCAATTTTATTACAACCATATTAAATTTAATAACCACCTAGAGAAAATAAATTGTATGTAACAAAAACTTTTTCTTTTTCTTTTGAAATTTTCACGTTTGTTGATATTTGTTAAATAAATAGTTAGAAAAAAATTTCTCTAAAAAATTAAAATAACAAAGATATGAAGCTAAAAGCACATTCTAATTTTAAAACTAGTTTTTTGAAAGTTAGTACTAGGATATAGGGGACCAGTAGGTGGCACAGTCACCTAGGTCGAACACTGGGCCTGGAGTCAGGAAGATCTGAGTTCAAAGCCAATTTCAGACACTTACTAGCTATGTGACACTGGGCAAGGCACTTAACCCTGTTTGCTTCAGTTTCTTCTCCTGTAAAATGAGCTGGAGAAGGAAATGGCAAACCACTCCAGTATCTCTGCCAAGAAAACCCCAAATGGGGTCACAAAGAGTTGGACACAACTGAAAAATGACTGAATACTAACTAGGGTGTAAGAAAACTGTCATAGGACATCAACTGTAACATGTCTGAAGATTTGTATGAACACTTCCCTTTGTAAAGAGAAGCCACTATTACATTTCATGGGGCTAGAGAAGGTTCTTGCTGCTAAGTACACATTACTCTACTATATAATGGTATGGTTGAGAGATAAGGAAAATACTAAGGAACAGTGAAAACTATGGAAAATTAAACATAGCTTCGATATTGTGTCAGAGCAAAGAAAGGTGTGGGAAAGGCATTAAACAATGTTCACTATAAGCTTTCAAAGTTATGAATGAATAAGTTTGCTACATGAGCAACAAAACGTAGAAAGTGTGTAGAGAAGTAGTTTATGTCATATAAGTGCAAAGAAATTTCAATTGTTAGTGACAATTATACTAATAGGGAGGTCTAACAGGCAGTACAATACCAATATAATCTAACTCTTAATTTGGTCTATTTCTCTTTCCACCTAATCCTTATTTTCCTATCTTCTTCTCAAAATGAATTCTGAATTCTGCCTTGTATCCCTTTTCCTCATTATCACTAAGCATCTGCTAAAGTCTGGTAAGGGAGTATTATACTCCTTGCTCCCCAATTCCCCTTGTGGATTCTCCCAATAGCACCATTATCCAGTAAGCTCTTCTCTTGTTGTTCATGCAATCCATATTCATACCCAGTCAAGGATTCTGGTGGTTGTTGTCTAATGACTCTTTTTCCTTCCTCACTGAGTTCATCAACTAACTCAGTCTCTCTATCTACTCTAACTCTTGCCTTCATACAAAGGGACTTCAACATACATACTGATCCTCCCCTAAACATCTTAACTTCTCACTTCCTCAGCTTACTCATTTCCACCTTCTACTCCTCTCTTCCTCAGCTTCATGTAGAGATGGTCATATATTTGATCTTGGCACCACTCACAAGTGCACCACTTCTGTGATCATGAACTTTAAATTTTCTTCATCTGATCACAGTCTTTTATCATTCTATCTTTCCCTCTGCTTCATGACTCCCAACCCTGTTCTTAGCTTTTACTACGACCTCTAATCCTTTCACCCCTCAGTACTTTCCCAGCCTCCACCCCTACAGTGGCTATCCGCTCCTCCTTCCACTTGGTGAACAAATTGAATTCTACATCATCCTCTACTCACCATCCACTCTTCAAATGGAGTCACTTGCCCCTTATCTTTTTTGCTAATCATGCCATCCTAAACCTTGGATTATTCCCACCATCCAGTATCTTTATTTCTCTTTATGTGCTATTGAAAGAAGCTGGAGAAAATCATGAAACGATGATAAAACTGAGTTCACTATAAATTTGTTACCTAATCCCATCTATACTCTTACCACAGTAAGGCAATCCTCATTAATTGATTTACTATTTGACTCATCGTAGTAGCTATTCCAAGTTTTTTCATTTGTCCTCAAACCTGCCATGACTTTTCCTCTTCCTATCCTCTCAGTTGATAACCTTGCCTCACACTTTACTAAAAAAAAAAAAAATAGAAGCCATTTTCAGAGAGCTCCCTCTTCTCCCTGCCTCATCTCACCTCACCCAGATGCCTTCTTCCATTATCACACAAGAGGTGACCTTTCTCCTTTCTAAGGCAAACCCCTCTACATGCACCATTGATCTCATTCCATCCAGTCTTCTCCACCAAATTCACTCACTAATCTTCAATTTCTCTCTTTCTACAGGCTATTTCCCTGCTGCTTACAAACTCCCTCATTTTTCCTGAATCTCTGAAGAAAAGAAAAACCTCACTTGATCCATCCATCATCACTACCTTTCATTCTATATCATTTCTGTATTTTGTGGCTAAACTACTTGATAAAGCTCTCTACAATCAGTGCTTCTCCTCTCTCTCCCCTCTCATTCTCTTCTAAAGTTTTTATAATCTGGCTTCAAATCTCATTCAACTGGAATTGCTCAATTCAAAGTTACCAATGATATCTTAATTGCTAAATCTAGTGGCATTTTCTCAATCCTCCTCCTTTTGGACCTCTCTGAAGTCTACAATGCAGTAAATCACACTCTTCTCCTAGATACCCTCTCCTCTCTAGGTTTTTGTGACATTGCTTTCTCCTAGTTTGTCTCCTATCACCTGACTGCTCCTTTTCAATTTCCTATATTGGATCTTCATCCAGATTATGGTAACTGTGGGTATTCCCCCGGGGTCTGTCCTGGTGGCCCTTTTCCTTTCCTACTGGGTTATCTCATCAGTTCCCATAGAGCCAACTGCCATCTTTCTGCAAATAGATAATTCTCAGATCTATTTAGTCAATCCTAACATCTCTCCTGAATTCCAGTCTCATATATCCAATTGGATATCTCAAATTGAATATCCTATAGACATCTTAAACTCAATGTTTCCAAAGCTTAACTCATGATCTTTCCCTCTGAATCCTTTCCTCCTCCAAATTTCCCTATTACTTTTGATGGCACTACTACATAACCAGTCACCCAGGTTTGTAACCTAAGTGTCATTCTCACCTCATTTTCTCTCACTCCACATATCCAATCTGCTGTCAAGTCCTGTCATTTTTTCCTTTGTAATATCTATCATATAGGTCTCTTTCTTTCCTCTCAAACAACCACTACCCTACCATAGCCCTGCATCACTTCGTGCCTGGCCTATTACAATAGCATTCCAGGTGTCTCCCTACCCAAAGTCTCTCCCCACTCTAATCAATCTTCCATCTAGGTAAAGTAATCTCTTAAAGTATAGGTCTGACCATGTCACCCCCCTACTCAGTGAACAATAAACTCCATATTAACTCCAGGATCAAATATAAAAATCTTTTTTAAAGCTTTTCAAGCCCTTTAAAATTATGGCCCTTGGAAATTCTGTCAAAAACCAAACTTAGGGGGTAGCTAGGTGGTAAAGTGAATAGAGCTCTGGCCTTGGAGTCAGGAAGACCTGAGTTCAAATCCAGCCTCAGACACTTAACACTTACTAGCTGTGTGACCCTGGGCAAGTCACTTAACCCCGATCGCTTCACCAAAAAAAAAAAAAAAGCCAAAAAAAAAATCAAACTTAGGACTAAAGAAGGGAATCATAGTTGAAGAATGATGATTAGATCCTTTAAGTGGCTTTTATCAATTCAGCTGAATGATAATTCTTGATATGTGTATAGCACTTTCACACTCACTATCTCATTTGATTCTTAATTTTATCAGTTGGATAAGAAAGAGATCATCTTTTCTACTTACTACCTATGTGGTCTTGGACACTTTACCTCTGATCTTCAATTTTCTTCTCCACAAAATGAAAGTATTGAACTAGATGAACTCTGAGGTACCTTCCAGCTCTATATATTAACTCTATTAGCTCTATTTCACAAATAAGGAAAATGAAGCACAATTAAGTGACTTGTCCAAGGTCATAGTTGCAAAGCTAGCACTAAGATTAGATGGGTCAGGTTTCCTGAATCCCATTGCACAGCTATTTTCACTGAACCACTCAACATTGATAAAAGGTCTACATTAAAATCTGAATTATTTTTTCATTTAAATGAAGATTTTCTTTAAAACTGTAATTGTAAGTCACTTTTGCTTACTACTGGAAAACTCAAAGAGGTTAAAAGAAGATAATGGCATAATTTTTGTTTTAGATCTTAATTTTTTAATAGAGAAATAAGTACCGACAAATATTTTGCAAGAAATGATAATAGAGATTCCCACCTTCTTTTGTGAAATCAGGTCACCAAGGCTCCCTTTTTGTCCAAGGAGTTGCTGAGCCTTCATAATATCTGACTCAAGTTCCTTTTGTGACTTTTCAGATTTGGCCCTAACATCCATTTCTAGGGAACTCTCATATGAGGCCTGTAAGACAGCATCTAGCTCTGCCATGTTATTCTGTGAAGAAAAAGAGTTTTAAATTATTTGCATTTTACCCACTATCATAAAGGTTCACACAGAAGACAAGAAGTTTTTCTTCTAAACTTCGAATCTTTTCCAGGGCTTAGCACAATGACCTATAATTCAACTCAATTCAACAAAAATTCAAGTATCTATTAAACAGAGGAGTTGAAGCCAGATTTTAGAGGGCCTTGAATTCATACAGGAGGTACTTAATAAAAGTTGGTTGAATTGAAGTTTCTTTCAAATAGTAGCTTGATTTTTTCCATAGAAATTCTAATATACTATATTTATATGCTACTAAACAATAATTATTTTAAAGTGTAATGCAAAAATAATATTATGCAAGAAATTTTAAATGAATGGTAGCATTTTTTTTCAGACCACTAAAAGCTAAGGAATAAAATATTTAGAAAATGCACTATGTTAGAGACCTGAACTTTGTGTTTTGCTTCTTTGATCTGTGTCTGGAGCCCAGATGTATGGAAATGCTGGAGGAGTACATTGCTTGAAATATTTTGTGCTATTATTTGTAATGCATTTTCTTTTCTAGTCACATGTTCTTGATACATAGATCCTCGGGCAATCAGGTTCTATCGAAACAAATGAGACCATAGTAAGGTTCGACATTAATCCAGATGAAAATCATGTTCATAAAAAGCCATTAAAGATGAATCCAAAATCCAAAATGATGAAATTTACATAGCAAATGTTCTGAGTATTCCTTACATTGTCTAGCTTGGAGAAAGTCTGAGAATACAGTCTTCACACAAGTTTATCTTATGTAAGCACTACATACTACCTTGTAAGTAAGAAGGAAATACTTCATAAATAATTAAGAGCATATTTAAAGATATACATGTATACATAAAAATATATAAAATATAATGATCAAGTTCCGAGAAACATCCTGATCCCTTTAATGTTATATCTATTCAAAATTACATCCTTTATGTTGTAGATATCTTAGTATGGTACCAACTACAAGTAAAATAACAATATTTAAAAGATAAACTGGATATTAATCATCAGTATTAATTATAGGATCAGAAATTTAGACCTAAAAGTAATTTTAGAGACTCAAGGTCTCAAACTTTAGAAATCAAACCTCAAAGAGATTAAGGAACTTGACCAAGGTCACACAGGTAGTTAGTGACATGATCATAGATGCTAGAGCTTAAAGAGACCTCACAGCCCATCTAATCCAACACTTTCTTTAAACAGATGAGAAAACCGAGGTTCACAGAGCATTAGTGACTTTTTCAGATCCCCCATTCTCAAAAACATACAAATGAGCTCTCTATACTTGCTATAGAAATTATAGATAGATTAAATAAACACACAAAGCAAAGAAATGAAGATTTGCAAAGGAATTATTTCTTATTCTTATTGTTGGAATTTTCCATGTTCTCAAAACTCATGCCTGGATGGTTTTATGACTTAGCTGAAACTCAGTTAAGCTTTCAATGTTACATCTTCCCCAGGAAGGCTAAGTGTAATAGCTGCTACAACACACTACAACGTTAACTATTCACTTCCCCGATTCTCAATATGTTGGTTACACAGAAGTAAAGGCAGAACTGAGTCTCAGGGAAGAAAGAGTATGCTCTCTTCTTTAAAAATCAGTAGGATTCCATGCAATCAGTTAAGCTGTAGGCATCTAATCCATGGGTAAGTTTTCAATAGAGAGCTAATAATTCTTTATATTCACAAATCATACCTTAAAATGTAATATGAAACTAGACTTACTCATTCTCATTGTACTCTTGCAAGGAGACTTTTTTTTTTAATTAATCTCCATTCTATTGATAGAAAAACAAATTCAAAACCAAAGGCATTTGGCCAGGCAAAGTGGTGCACAACAGTCCCACATTCAGAAGAGGATGCCTTAGTGTTATTATCCCTATTTTACATGTTCTTAAAAAGAACACAGCCTGAAGTAATGGAAAGAGTAGCAAATTTGCACTGGAGTTGAAAGCTATCTCTGCTACCCATTAACTGTGTCACCTAGAGAGAGTCACTTAACTTTTTTGGGACTGTTTGCTACTCTGAATTAGATCATCTTTACAATCCCTTCTTGATCTTAAAGATCCCAAGAGACTTGCCAAGGTTACATGGCTAATAAGTACTGGGTCCTAGGCCCAGCATGGTGGTGGACATCTGTAATCCCTGTTCCTGGGGAAGCTGAGGCTGGTGGGTCATACCCTTAGGAGTTCTAAGCTTCAAGAGAGCTAAAGCCATTTGGGCATCCAAAACTATTCCAACAGCAGTATGGTAAACCCCTGGGAGTGGGGTGGGCCACTAGTCTGCCTAAGAAGGGAAAAACTGGTCTAGGTCAGAAATGAAGGAGGTCAAAACCTCCATGCTGATCAGTGATGGGATTTGACCTGTGAGTAGCTGCTATACTTCTGCCTGGATGCAATAAGGAAAGCCATTCTCCTTGGGGCAACTAGGTGGCACAGTGGATAGAGTGCTGGGTCTGGAGTCAGGAAGACCTGAATTCAAATCTGGACTCAGACACTTCCTGGCTACGTGGTCCTGAGCAAGTCACTTAATCCTGTTTGCCTCAGTTTCCTCATCTGTAAATTGAGCTGGAGAAAGAAATGGCAAACCACTCCAGTATCTTTGCCAAGAAAACCCCAGATGGGGTCATGAAGAGTCAGGCACAACTGAACAGCACCTCTTTATCCAAACAACAATAACCAAAGAATAAAAAAGTAAAAAAAAAAAAAGGCATACTTTAGAGCTGTGGTGTCAAACTCAAATAGAAACAGATCCCAGAAGGCTGCATTTTAACTTAGAAAATCACAAATTATCATTCTGTATATTGTATTGCATTTCATTTTGTTAAACACTTCCCAATTACATTTTAATCTGGCCAATGGGTAGAGTTTGAAGTCTCTGCTTTAGAAAACTTTTTGTCCATTTCTAGTGTCTCCCCTATAGGCAGAAAGGAGAATAACTAACCATTCCCTGGTGAGAATACATTTCATTCGAAAGGATTTCAAAGAAAAGTACTTCACTATCTCAGAGCCCCAAAATAAACTAGTGTCAAAGTTAAAAAGAGATAGATTTTGCAACTTTCCTAGGCCCAGGGTACTAGGTAGTAAATATTGTGACCACAGCATGGCACTGGCTATGAAATACAGGTTTCTTAGAACTTCCGTTATCAACACTGACCTAAATTGAAATATAAGATCACAGCTGTAAAATTGGCATTTGGCTTTTCTACATTTTTACCTGCAAAGATTCTTCCATGGAAGCTTCCACATAACCTTGTTGTTTGATAAAATCCAGAACGGGTCTGATTTCTGTTTCCCAGGTTGCCACTTGATCGATGAATTCTTCCATCTCTTCAAGTACTTGTAGGAGCTCTGTGAACTCTTTAATTAAAGCCTCATTTTCTTTTCCAGTCTACAATATACAACCAAGATTATGAAAGCAAAGCAGTGTATCCAGAATTATCCTTTTTTATGTGAATTACTTAAACTTTCTTTTCAATAGGTGGTCAACAAAATCATTATTCACAACTGACTGGCTGGTTATTCCTAGAATTTCCTATTTAATGGGGTTATCTAGGTAGACCATGTCAAGGAGGTCATCCAGGTCACCATGTCTTTATTCCTCTCCAAACCGTTCATCTGATTCTCTCAATCTTTTTCTACAATGCCCCAGAAACTTCTTCACCTTGGCCTCTCTCTCTGATTGGTTGGTTCTTCCCATAACCTCCATTTTAAGGAGGATGCCCAAACCAGTCATGTCTTCATTCCTCTCCAGGCTGTACTCCTGGCTCACTGGATTTTCTCTACCATGTCTTGGACAGGTACTTTCTTGTCTCCCCCTCTTCCCTTTTTCAGCTTCCTTTTATGTGTTTTCTTCTTCCATTAGAAAATAATCTCTTTGAGCGCAGGGACTATCTTTCTACTTGTATTTTTATTCGCAGCACTTAACACAATGTCTGGAACACAGTAAGCACTTACTTATAGTTGACATACTGGAAAGAACACAGGCCTCAGAGTCAATACAGCTAGAAACTATTTGAACCTTTCTCCTTTTAATGTTGTCTTAGGAAAGATCATTCTCCTCATAGACCTTGTTTAAGGGATAGTCATGGCCATTAACTTTGGGCAAAATAATTCCCTACTTAGGTTACTTAGTTTAGTGCAGGGGAATACCCTGACAATACAAAATCAAGTTGCAGAATATTTCTTTAATGTTTACCTATATTCCAAGATGGGATGATACTCTCTTGAATTAGGAGAAATGATGTTAAGCATCAGCACAGCAAGCAATGTAGCTGTGCATTAGAGTATACCAATGTCATTAGCCTTGGGATACACCCCCAATCAGACCCCTTCAGCCAGCAATGAGAGGTAATAAGGGGAATACCCAAAGGCTCAACTACATGGACAAATCACTCAACCTCTGAAGGCTGGGAGTCTCATAAAAGAGGAGTTCAGCAGGGGACTTGTCTTCAGAGAGCCTTCAAAGTTGACAGGTAAAGTCTCAGGCCAGAAGGGATTTTAACATTGAGAGAATGTAGACACTGAAGGAATTTGGACAGTGGTGTTCTAAAGCAGGAGAGTAGCGGTTAGCTAATGCAAGCTGTTAATTTGTGACTACAAATCTCGCACAAAAGAGGTAGTATTTCTTACTGAGAGCTTTTTAAGGGTAGAGTCACTGAGTACTGGGGACCCAATTAGGTCCTACCATAAAATCTTATTCGCTGCAAAATCTTGTGCAAGAGTCAGTTAACTTCCTTGAGTACCAGTTTTTTCACTGTAAAAAATTGGAATAATAATATTTGCTCTGGATACAATTGTTGTGAGGAAAGTGCTTTGTAGGTATTAAAACACAATAAAATTGTAATGCTATTACTATTGGGCCAGCGGATAGAGCACTGGCCCAGGAGTCAGGAGGACCTGAATTCAAATCTGGTCCCACTTTCTAGCTGTGTGGCCCTGAGCAAGTCACTTACCTTTGTTTGCCTCAGTTTTCTCATCTGTAAAATGAGCTAGAGAAGGAAATGGCAAACCACTTTGGTATCTTTGCCAAGAAAACTACAAATGAGGTCATGGAGTCAGATACAACTGAAATGACTCAACAATAACGTATTGGGATAGTGACAGCACCTGCCTCTCAGAGTTGTTGGGAGAATCAAATGAGATAATATTTCTAAAGCATTTAGCACAATGCCTGACACATAGTAGGCGCTCTATAAAAATGCTTATTCTCTTCCCCTGCTAATTAGCTCCCTGGCTAGTTAACATCTGCCACTTTCACTATAGTTGTGAAATTGCTTTCTATGAGACATATTTCCAAAAATGCAATAATTATACTTAATTTGTAGGATCTTTTACTAAACTCCTCACTTACCACTAAAGAATGAAATATTTAGAGGATGTACTGCTATGTTTAACAAAAACCTGTACTTTATCTTTGGCTTAATCTATGCTAAAGGTCAGGTGTATGGAAGTGTTAGAGCAGCACCTGCAATATGTTGTGTAATTATGCTTCTCAAGTCACATAAATCCTCAGGCAATCAGGTATACTGCTAAAATAATCTCTCTTTCAACCAGTTGTTTCCCATATATACATCAAAATATGGAAGAACTCTTGAAAGATATATCCACAGAGACAACCGTATTCAGCTATCCACTCATTGTTAATATATCAGCTGAGGTATAAAACAAGAAGATGTATGCTCACCAAGTTATTCAACAATGTCCTAGAGGAGATTCATTACAAAGACCAAATTGAAGAGGGTTTGCCTATTACAGTTAATTACTTAGTGATGTTCCTGTGTGAATCTGGACAATGATGTCTTCAAGGTGACCCTGGGTTCTTAATGACACGCATTTCCACAGCACTCTAACCTTTACAACAAATCTTTAAGTTCGGTAATAAAAGTAGTATGATGTATGTTTTTGCAGACGAGAAAATTAATGCCTAGACTTAAGGTCACCCAGGTGATTGAACCTCAAGAGCTACAACCTTATTGCTATAATAAGGCCACCCTAGTTAAACTCAAGTTCTGGCAGGTCCTATTGAGCAAGAAGGGGCAGCTAGGTGGTGCAGTGGATAGAGTACTGGGCCTGGAATCAGGAACACATATCTCCCTGTGTTCGAATCTGGCCTCAGACTTACTAGTTATGTGACCCTGGGCAAGCCACTTAACCCTGTTTGCTTCAGTTTCCTCATCTATAAAATGAGCTGGAGAAGGAAATGGCAAACCACTCCAGTATCTTTGCCAAGATAATCCCAAATGAGGTCACGAAGAATTGGATGTGACTAAAACAAATGAACAACAACAACAACACCAAGTGAGAAAGGTTTCGGGTACAGGCTTAACAACAGCCTGAGGTCCAAAATAGCAAATTTCAAGAGAGGCTTCTCTTCTGAACACTAGATACCTTATTATAATTTTGATTTGACCAGAGCAATTAATGAAATTTGCTACTAAGATGTAGATGGGTTTCAATCACATAGTTTTGGAATTACTAAAGTATATTTGAAAGGTACTTAATGTTTTCTGCACACATTTTATTCCCTTTTACATGTTCATTTCAATTACCTAATTTCATTCTCCCAGTAAGTTAAGAGAGAGCTATATAGAACTGGTATTATTATTTTCATTTCACAGACTAAGAAGCTGAGGTACATAGGTTGCTGAAGTGCACTCAGCAAGTTTCCATTAATTAGTAATAATTAGAGTAAAATAGCAATCAATAGCTTAGTGTCTGTAAAACTGAACAAGACCTTAATAACGGAGGTAATGGAGAGCACTGTCATTATGTGCACAGCTGTAGGTGATTACCAGAGACAGAGAAAGATAAAGGCAGGAGCAACACCAGTAGATACGAAAAGCCTGCAGGCTTCTGGTGCTTGAACACTGCCAGCTATCACTGTCTGCTCCATGACCATTCAGGACACAATTCCATGTAGTTCGCCTCTCTAAATCTGATTCTTTGGCTCTGGAGCTATCTGTTGACATTCTTTCATTTTCCTTTTCCATAAACTCCACACTCAGTATCTTATTTCTTTTCATCAGACCAGATCTTAGTATGATTTCCATCAATGAGACTTTAACTCCAGTGAGAAATACCATCCTTATTCAAGACTCCCAGTGACAGGAAAGATTTTGCCCAAATACCAGTTAATTGAATAACTCAGTATCTTTCCAGGGAACTCTTTATGTTTTAAATTTTATCTGCTCTTCCAGGCTTAAGTCCATAGTGATATATCCAACAATGTTTATCAAAGAAAGATAGTAGGAATAATTATTATTATCATTTGAATTGCCCCGTGATTGCAATGGTAGAGGGAAATTCCTAGTCAAGAAATTCCCTCAGCACCTGCTTTACAATTTTTGCACTTTGGGACCTCTTTGGACAACTAACTTTCTCCAAATCACATAACTTGCCCAGCATCATATAATTAGTACATATCAGAGGTAGGTTTTGAACCCAGGTTTTGACACCAAAGCTCTTTATTCACACAGCCATGTTGTTGCTGTTCAGTTGTTTCAGTCATGTCTAGCTCTCTGTGAGCCACTTGGGTTTGTTTTTTTGTTTCTTCTTTGGCAAAGATACTGAACTGGTTTGCCATTTCTTTCTCCAGTTCATTTTACAGATACAAAAACTGAGGCAAACAAGGTAAAGTGATTTGCCAAGGGTCTCACAACTAGTGAGTGTCTGAGATTGGATTTGAACTCAGGTTTTCCTGACTCTGGGCCTGGCACTCTATACAGCTGCCTGTTATTTTATTATCATTCTCATCATTGCTAATAATAAAAACCAACATTTTATAACACTTTAAAAAATCTTTTCTTTTATCTAAATTGAATCTATACATTCCTGAAAGGCATTTTCAAAATTCCTGCATTTTACCTTTAAATGCTGAATGTGCTTCCTAAGGGCTTCGACTGAAATATCTGTTGAACCACCATGGGAAGTTAAGTTTTCTTCCAAAGGTAGCTCAGTATTTCCCATGCTATCAAGACTGGATTGTTCCTGTTCTTGGGTAAAATGAAGTTTCATCTCCTATTAAAAAATTAATGGTATAATTATTTTATCTTCATTTTGCTTGTTTATTTAGCTAATATATTTTGTTAAAACAAAAAGTCTCATAAGTTATAGATCCTGGCATAGACGAAAAATGCTTTTTACATTCTAACTCATCTAGCAATGATGTTATAAAAGAAAGAGGAGAACCACTAATGATTTTAGAAAAGGAGAGTGATATATATTACGTAGACAGCCATGTTGAAAACTGTCCGGGAGTGAGGAAACATTGAGAATTCAATAAATATAATAATTTCAAGTTATCCAGTAGGCCAACTAGGAGATTATTATAATAGTCTAGTGAAAAATGATGGAAGCCAAAACTAGGGGGGAAGGTAGTACAAATTAAGAGGAGGAAAGGATGAATGAAATACTATGGAGATAGAATCCAGAAAACTTGGCAACCAATTGGATATAAGAACCAAGGGAGAGGAAAGAGTTTTTAAAATAGCTCTAAATTTTCAAGAATTCCATCATCTTCTCAGTCACCTTGATATTATTAACAAAAACAGAGAGGTAAGGAAAAAGAAAAGATTCTATAAGGAGCAGGGTGGTGGGCATGGAAAAGGATAGAGATAATTTCAGTAAAAATTCTCACATTATTAATTTCAAATATAATGCTGTGCCACACAAAGTGGTTTCGTGACTTACAAACTGAGTTTTCTTAATGAATTTTGCCCATCTTTTATTAAGTCTTTTCAGTTCCTTATTAATAGACAATCCAACTTGTTGATTACTGACATCAATTAAAAATTTTCCAAACTCATTTGCAGTACTAAGTACTGAATTCCAACTTGCTAGTGTCTCAAAAGGAATCTGCAAAACATAAACGAATAATTGAATGAAATGATCTTTGGTCTTCTGATAAGCAATCCTCTCGAAGATTATTTTTTGCCTCCTTTCTTACCTAGCCTTAATCACTGAATGGTCACTGCCTCAGCCAAACTAAGAGAGACCTGTTAAAGACCTTAACTTAAAAAGGCCAAGTGCTCTCACCGCATGTAGGGCCATTTCCAGGCATCCTGATCTATATCTGGCCACTGGATCCAGATGGCTCCGGAGGAGAAAGTGAGACTGGTGACTTTGCACAGCCCCCCTCGCTGAAATCTAAATGTCATGGCATCACCACCCTGATGTCATGGTCCTCTTTGAGAAGAAACAAACAACATCAACAGCTAGCATTTATAAAATACTTTAAGGTTTGCAAAGAAACCAACTAAAATAGCAATAATAATGATAATGATATCAGCTAGTATTTATATAGTGCATTAAGGCTTGCAAATCATTTACAGATATCATCTTTTTCCCCCTCAAAACCCCTGGAAGTAAGTGCTATTATTATTCCTATTTCAAGATGAGGAAATTGAGCCTGAGAGAACTTAGGTGATTTGCCCAGAGGCACAAAGCTAAGTAAATATGTGAGGTAGGATTTGACCTCGGGTCTTCCTGAATCCAAATCCAGAACTCTATCCACTGCACCACTTAGCCCAAAAAAGCTGTTAAGTAGATGGAATTTGTCTTCAATGCAGTCCTAGCTCCCCACTAAACATTCTTCTCTCCTTTCTTGGTTCCCCCAGGTCCCAGGTGGCTCACCTATCTCTCATTCTCACAAAGCCTTAGTCTCAGCTAGATGCCACCATTAGCATCTGATATTTACTTCTAAGGTATTCATATTTCTTTAAGGTGCTATCCCTTCCAGAGTTATAGTCATCCCTTATACATCATGGGAGTTAGGGGCATGGCAACCCCTCTATTTAAAAAATTTTTTGGCACTCCATACCAGAGAAATCTGAATATTTTCTTTTTCTTTTATGGGGTATTTACAGTATTATAAGATAAAATATGTTGACATTATACACATAATTTATGCATTTCTGAGTTCCTAAACTTTTTCTGTGTTATCTGCTGGCCTTCATGTGTCATCTACAGCTTCCACAAAACTCCCCCAAAATTCCCATTTAAGTTCTTATGCTGACCCACAATATATCAAAATTGTGATATATCAAAACTGTGATATATCAAAACTTTAGCAGGGAAATTCCAGAGGTGGAAGAGATAATTGTATTTACATTTTAATAGGAGATTACTGGAGAGGGAAAAGTGACCAAGACTTCAAAGAAAGAATTTCTAATGGTAGAATTCTACGCACCATGACAAGCAGCTAGGTAGGAATATTTGTAAAGTGGCAACCATACTTGAAGGCCCTCCAGTCACATCATTTAGGTAACTACAATCTTTACTCAGTTATGAGGCTGCCAACACATAACATAGTATGAGTATACTGATGACTCGAAATCTGCTCAACCACACTTATAAACTATTTTATCTTAAAAACAGCCTAGTTTCTTTTGAATGATTTAACTTTTTGGAAAAGCCTCCTCAAACTCATGATGACTGGCTCCAATTAATTTCTAACTTCAAGGGATTAACAACATCCTTCTTCAGTCAAGAGAAACAAATTACTTCTAAATTACTTCACCAGTAATGGGGAGGGGGGGAATCATTGTGGATGGTTCTAAGAACTGAACACATAAACAGCAAATAGATCACTAATTTAAAATAAAAATAACTTTATCAACAACACGACCTCCTCCACACCAAGATGGCTAAATTGTATTTTGATCAAATTGTAGAAGATCAGAGCTAAAAGTGAAACAAGGGATCAGGTCCTCTATCTTCCCTTTTAAAAAAAGAACTAAATGAGTCCCAGAGAGGAACAGTGATACAAAGGCACAGAGCTAGTTAGTCAGAGAACTTGGATTTAAACCCAGCTTCCTGATTCCCAATGAAATGGTCTTTGTACTATGCCATATTATCTCCCCAACAATTCACAACCACCCCCAAAAAAAGGTTTTGGAGTTAGGATCTTACTCATTTTAAAAATGAAATTTAATTTAAACCATTCATTTATTTTAAATGTGCATATAAAATCAGTCCAATGCACCAATCCCCATTCAAAGAAGAAGACAATGATGTTTCAGAAAACAACACTAAGAAGAAAATGTTCCATTAACCATTTAGGCTTAAAGGGAGACAACATTTCCCAACTACACGCAAACCTTCTAAGAAGGATTGTCCTACACATGCCTGCTTATAACCCTGCAAACTCCTTTTCCTGAGTCTGAGAGCCAAGATGTCTAATAAAAGCAAAAACTCTTAAGTCAAGAGAGAAAATGTACCTGTTTTGGATGTTCCTTCCTTGATCCTTCCAACCAAGTCTTGAGGGAATTAAGGTTCTCCGTATATGTAGCCCAAGATAACAAAACTTTTTGCAGGGTGGATTTTATATTATACATACATTTTCTACACATAGAGATCTGAGATTCCACCATCTTAAACTGCTTGCTAATGTTCTGAGGATCTCCAGCTATGATATTTAACAAAAGAAAGGAATCTTAGAAAACATTATCATAATGTGACTAAAAGACTTTAATTGGACACATTTGTTCAAGTATGGCAAAGACAAAATTAAATAGGGATTATAACAATATTATCTAGAAAATATTCTCTTTGAATTATATGTTTATTATGTATGTGTGCAAAATTCCCCTGTGTATAAAGAATACCTAAATATTGTTTAGATAAATACATGGCACTTTCAGGATGTGTCAGTTCATCTTTGTGAGTTTGCCTACCCATTCAGATCACAAATCCTCTATAACTTAGTAAACAGTGTTCAAGCTATAGTGCCTATAAAATTTATAACTCTATGGCCACCTAGTGATGAGCCTCTGTGAACTTTTTTGGGCTGGTCCTCAGAACACATAGTCATAGTCTATAACCTGGCTCATATTCAAAGTTTTTCTAGTTTGTTAGGACACACCAGAGCTTGCATTCCTCTGGTTTAGCCTTCAAAAACTCAAGGTCACCTCTACAATGAGACATTATAGTAGGCCTTCAGTAGAGCATTCTGAGATAAAACATGAAAAGAATAAAATATTTTATTTTATTGTTCCCTTTTTTCATTACCTCACAATCATTTTCTACCCAGTTCCAGGCTGAATTTTCCACTGTGATTTAAAAAAAAAACAACATGCAAAACCAGCCAATACAATGATGTCATAAGATAATGAATATAATATTCTGTATATTATTTGTACCCTACCTCTCTCCTATGAGGGAGTAGGTATGAAACATGGAAAAAAGCTGGAAAAAAAAACATTAAGGCTCCAGAAAACAAATAATGTTTCATTATTTGTTTTCTGGAGCCTTAATGTTTTTTTTTCCAGTTTCTCAGAATTGTTCTTCCTTTTTAAAGAATTTTTCATTTTCACTGCTGTAATTGTATAAATTGCTCCTTTGGTCCTGCTTATTTTGCTTTGTATCAGTGATAGGAATCTTTCCATAATTCTCTAAATTCCTCATATTAGTGATTTCTTTTTGCACAATAAAATTCCATTTCATTTATTTAGCAAAGCTTTTTTCAGCCATTCCCCCACTGATGGGGATTCACTTTGTTATAATACTGTGAGGAATAGTTTGTCATATAGCAGTCCCTTTTTTTCTGTCTTTTACTTCCTTCAGATAGCTGCCCAGTCATGGAATCATTTGGTAAAAGGGTATGGACAATTTAGTCAATTTGAAATAAAATTTTAAATTCAATATTTCCAGGAGAAAATTATATACTCCAGAAATATAAACATGGAAAGGTAGGTACCTGTTGATTAACTTTAGTGACCAATCATAGCTGAAGAGAACAGATAAGGAAGACAATACCCTCCTCGTGGTAGAGAGGTAGAAAACTAAAGATTCAGAACATTATAAACGCTGCGTTGATTACATTACTTTTTTTTTGGCTGTACTCTTTTTTTCTTTGTTACAATGAAGGCTATAATAGTGGATATACTGAGAAAGAACTCTAACGTAAAAACAAAAGATAAAAGTAACATTCTAAAAATCAAATAAAACAATAATAAATCATTTGTATTATCTTACCTAAATTCTTGATCATTGTTTCACATTTTTGAAAGGAACTTTCAAGCTGAGTTAGAAACTCCTTTTCTTCAACAAATTTCTGTCCACATACAAAAGAAGAAAAAGCCATTTACATAAACAAAAGTGTTTAAATAAAACAGGCAAGAAAGAGAAAATGGTACAAATTTGAACATATTTTACATTTAATTAAATGCATAAAATTCAACTGAGAGAAATAAATGATAAAATCTTCATAATTAATACTATCATTTGGGAGAGTAGAAGATAGTAGAAGCTTAGTTATGGACTAAGATAATGTCATATATAAATTATTTATGTTATTCTTTCTAATATTTGTCAGTCATGATTTACTGGAATAAATTAATTTATAACCTTTCCAAGAAGAAGCTACTACAATGTTTTATAAACATGAATGCTAAATGTTAATGAATTTCCATAGAAATTTCAAATTCTCCTCACTTTACAAATACTACATGTTATTTTCATAGTCTTCATTTGGAACAATATTATTGAGATAGCACAGACAAAGATAGTGTTTTACATATATTATTTCACTTAACCCTCACAACAACCATGTGTGATAGATGCTATTTTATCAACATTTTTCCAGGTATGGAAACTAAGGCTAAGAGGGATTAAGTGACTTGCCTACAGTCATACATTTAGTGGCCAAAACAGTATTTGAACTCAGTTACTCCTGACTCCAAGTATAAGATTCTATCCACTGTGCCACCTAGCTACCTGTTATTATTAGGGGCTTTAAAATGGATATCATGCCTTTAAATCTAAAATACATTTTTAAAATAATTACTAATCAAAGTATCACACTTTTCCAACACACACAAATTCTGTTATCATTCTATCCATTTTTCAGGGCTGGAACCATATTGGTAGTAGGGACTTTGGGACAGGTTGATCCTGAAGCATTGAAGCTATTGAGCCAGCGGGTAATGGGGGGGGGGGGAGGTATAGTAGTCAGTCTAGCTGCAAACAGGACCTACAAATTTTGGCCAGATTTGTGTTTAATGGACTAAGCAGGTGCAGTCCAGGTTTGAAGTTATTCAGATCATAGTGATTCAGAGGGCATTTATTTACAAGCAATGGTCAGTTCTAGGCAAATAGTCAAGGACAAATGTTACTAAATTGAGGGTTGAGAATAGAGGAGAAGAATCCAGGACAACATAAGTTGATTAGGAAGAAGGCAAAAAAGACAAGATCTAAAAAAAGACAAGAATATCAGGGGAAGGGGGGTCACAATGATGCTTTGGCTAATTCAGCTTTACCTCTGAGGAAGTGCCTATTCTAGACAATGAAGTAAAAACAATTCCTAGATGAAGAGGTTAGAACTCACAAAACAAATGCTATTTCCTGTCAACAAAGTGATCAAAAATGAAGACAGGCTGACTAAGGCAGAACATAAAATTTAACTTACATGCCAATCTCCCAATAATAGTTCTACAGATTCCTGGGTCCCATATTTGATATTCCAGAGATTCAATTTTGATTTCACTTCCTCTATTAAACCCAGGACAAAGCACAAGTAGTAGTGAAATTCTAAAAGTGCAGTGAAGTTGGTCCCCATAATATTGTGGAATCTAGAAAATAAGACAGCCTTTAGGATTTACTTTCAATTTTCCTGACATAATGAAATATCTATCCACAAAAAAAAACCCAAAACCATTGGCTATTTTTAAAAACAAAAAAATATATATTGCATTTAAAACCCAGATATAAGAGCTCCCATTCAAATGATGAAAAATTGTAGCATAAAAATATTTTAAATGTTACAAGAATTATCCCTACTGCCAGAAAATAAAGCAAACATTTCCAAGTTAGAAGTATCTGCCACAGAATGTTTTCTAAAGAAACATGCACTTTGGCTAAGATATGCTCTAATTAAAAAAAAATATCTTCAAAACACTTTACTGTATTTGGAAAATGTCAGTTATTCAGTCAATAAACTTTTATTAAATACCTACTATGTGCCAGGCACTAATGCTAAGCACCGGACACACAAGAAGAAGAAAAAGAGAACGCCTGCCTTGAAGGAACTTACAATCTAATGAGGGAGACAACAGGCAAATATACATGTACAAACAAGCTGCAGTATTTGGAAAAATGTTTTCAAGTATTCATGTAGCCAAAATTTGAATATCTGGCATATAGAAATAATTGTATTATTAAAGCTAAACTTATTAACATATTAGTAAGCTTTCTAATATATAGAGAAAGCAAATGTAATGTGGAGAATTTCTATCAGCTCAAGAGATTCAGAGACATGTTGGCATGGCATAAGCCCAAGTTTACACAAATCTTTAAAGTAGAATCTTTAAAATAGTTTCACAGAGCCAACTCTACGTTTTAATTTAGTAGCACACATAGGAGTACACTTGTCAGAAACTGGACCTAAATCAATTTATGCTCTGTTGTCTTTACAAGCCCCCTAAGCCCTTATCAGTACCCAAGAGCTCATAAATAACATTGCCAGATGTGAAATGCTAGAATTTCTACCACCTTCTTTTCATTTCCTCCAGTTTATCAGGTGGGACCATGGGCATGTGTTGCTCATCTTTATTCTCAAATGTCAAGAGGCTGTTCAAGTGACAATCAAAATCATCCATCAGACTCTGAAAAGAAAACAATCATAGCATGAACCAGGGCTGGCAGTCAAATATTGTAACTGAGGACTTTTAATCTCACTTCCAGGAAACATGACATCATTTCCAGACAACCATTTAAGCTTTTCTTTTGGACACTACAGAGACTGAAAAGTGAAAGTAAAATCTCGTGAATAAATATTTTCATCTTAATTTGATTGAATGCAATTTAGTCACAAGTGTGGAAACTGAAAACTTCTACAACAAACCACATTTTTTCTTTGATGAAAACACAAGTTCCCTTCTGGCAGAAATTTTCTGGTACGCTTTTCATTTTAATGCAGGTCCAAGTGCTAGAGACTTACTACATCTTTATAATAAATTTATGCCCTCTCATCATCATAATATAATTATGCATTTGTTTTATTTATATTTACAATTTGTATTTAATTAAACTAGCATTTATATAGGACTTTGAAGTTTGCATAGCACCTTTACATGTGTTATCTCATTTGATTTTTTCTGATTCAGAAGGAAGTCCTTGAAACCATAAAATATTTTTTAGTCTTTATAGATGTTTTAATATCACTCTGGAATTTTTTTTCTTAATTCAGTGTAAAATATGCCCTATGGTTTGATGAGAGCTGCTTCCTAGGCCATCTTTCAAATTCTAATAACTGATGCCCCTTGGCGTCCATTGTTGCTAGGCATATTAAGGGCAGCAGTAATAAACAGGTGACCTAATTCATAGAGTATGGGATCTGGAGTCGAGAGGAGCTAGGTTCAGACACCACCTCTGGCACTTACTAGCTGTATGGCCATGGACAAGATACTTATCCTTTCTGAGCCTCATTTTCCTCATCTACAAAATGGGGATAGGAATACCTGTACTGCCCACTTGACGGCATTGTAGTGAGGTTCAAATGAGACAACTGATATAAAGCATTTTACAAACTTTAAAGTTCTATGCAGATTTCCCCAGTCTTTGTGCAGATTTGGCTTTTGGGATATCCTGTATAAATGTTAGCTATTGGTATAATTGTTGGATTATTGGCATATTTGTGTACCCACGGTCCAAATGAGTACAAAAAACTGATATGACCTGACCATGTGGCTACTTACTATCTGAGCCTTGACCCTCACCTCTTGGTGGTCCCCTGTCAGGCTCTATCATGATTCCTGGTTTTCATTTAGCTTCCACTAAAGACATTGCATCTTTCCTCTTCAACTTAAGTTCTACAACTCTTAGCATCATAAATTTATAGCTCAAAGGAATGTTAGAGGTCATTGAGTCCAAACTCCTCATTTTACAAATGAGAAAACTGAGACTGGAGAGATAAAATAACTTTCGCAGAGAACCACAGCTGTCTGAAGCAGGATTTGAATCCAGGTCTTCTTAACTCCAGGAGCAGCTTGGTGGCACATTAGATAGAGTGCCAAGCCTGGAGTCAGGAAGACTACTCCTTCTGAGTTCAAATCTGGCCTCAGACACTTACTAGCTGTGTGACCCTGGACAAGTTACTTAGCCCCATTTGCCTCAGTTTTCTCATGTGTACAATGAGCTGGAGAAGGAAATGGCAAACCATTCCAGTACCTCTGCTAAGAAAACTCCAAATGAGCTCATAAAGAGTCTGACACAACTGAAAATCACTGAACCACCACAACTTCTTAACTACAAGTCAAGTGTTCAGTCCACTACTCCACAATGCCCATCACTGTCCCAGATCTGGACCTTGGTATGTTTCTATGATTGTGACCCAATCCTCAGAATGGAAATTTCTCAGCCATAATCTCTTCCTTCCTTCCAATACCCAATTCCTAAATGTAGAGGGTTCAATCAGCACCCTCTATGAGCCAGTCACAACTCTAAACCCTAGGACAAATAGTTTACCATCCCTCAGAAAAAAAAAATGGACCCAATCATCGTAAAAGACTATCTTTAACAGTGTACCTCCTTCCTAGGATAAAGTCTTACTCAAGAATAATGTTTCTAAAGTGTTCCTTTCCTTTCTATGTTTGCTTTACCAACCTTAAACAAATTGATTCTTTCATTGATTAGAATCATGGCTTGACTGTAATCCTGGGAATCTGGTAAATCCTCTGCCATAAGATGTTCAATTTCTTGGAGCCAGACTTCAATGTGATCCAGGGGTGGGGGCAGGATTTGATCCAGCTTAGCACTCCATTCATTAATCTTAAAGAGAAAAGAGAATTATTCATTATTGGTGTTCAACTGCTAATTATCACTTAGAATGAGCAAATAGCGTTTGTGAGGTTTTCTGAAAGGCAACTCATATAAATGTGATTTTATTAATGATCTAGCATGAATATTTTCTGCCAGGACTCTTCACAATTCTAAAATTGCTTAGCATCTGAACATGATTTTTTTTAAATTGCTCAAAGCCTTAGCTCTCTGTTGTACTCCTCAAGGATTATAAGTATCTGTGTATATGTCATATTAGGGCAGCTAGGTGGCACTGTGGATAGAATGCCAGGTCTGGAATCAGAAAGTCTCATCTTCCTGAGTTCAAATCTGGTCTCAGATACTTAATAGGTGTATGACCCTTGGCAAGTCACTTAACCTCATTTGCCTCAGTTTTCTCATCTGTAAAATGATCTGGAGAAGGAAATGGCAAACCACTCCAGGATCTTTGCCAAAGAAATCTCAAATGGGGTCACAAAGAGTTGGACATGACTAAACAACAACAACCTGTGTCATATCCCCCTATTTGAATGTGAAAGTTTGGGAGCAAGTACTAATTTCATCACTTGGTAAGTCTGGTGAATATAAGAATGTCATTTAACTTGTTTGAGCTCAGTTTTCTGAAAAATAAAGTAAAGATAATAATGCTTATACTACCTACCTACCTCAACAGATTACTGTTAAGAAAGTATTTTATAAACAATAAAATGTTACGAGGAGGCAGCTAGGTGGCTCAATGGATAGAGCACTGGGCCTGGAGTCAAAAAGACCTGAGTTCAAATTTAGCTTCAAACATTTCCTAGCTGTGTGACCCTGGGCAAGTCACTTAACCTCTGTTTGCCTTGATCCACTAGAGAAGAAAATGGCAAATCATCCTGGGATGTTTGCCAAGAAAATCCCATGGAAAGCATTGTTGTGCTACAGTCCATGGGGTCGCAAAGAGTCTGATAAAACTGAACAACAAAAACAATGCCATGAGAATGTATGCTATTAATATATGTGGTAAACTATGACCAAATTTTCTACTCTCATTTTGGGAAGATCACCTTGACTTTTGCCTAAACTCACCATAAAATATACACAGCAAAATCATACCTGGGGCATTCTTAAACCATGTTTAAATATTTACAATGACCCTTCATTCTGTTAAGAGACTTTGCTATTTACTGATGGAATCTAAATATTTGCATTCCTGAGCTGCTGAACTGGAAAAATATCCAGATGGCATGAAATTCATTTGGGTCATGATTTGGACACTGGACACAGCTCATTTTGCCATACTTGAGAAAAAGGGCATGCTAGAAACTTAAGTACTGACTTATTAGCTCACTATACTGGCAGGTTGTAATGATGACGAGGGAGTATCTGCCCCCTCCCTGCCCTCCCTCCCATGTTGCTTTTTTTAGTGATCTTTTAAAACTTAATTCGACTATGAGAAGTAAAATATGTTACAGGCAAAGAGCTGGACTTGAAGTCAGGAAGATCTCGGCCCCAGTCCTCACCCATATATTAATTAGCTGTGTACCCCTGGGGGGGAGGAATCACAATCTATGCCTCAATTTCCTCATCTGTAAATAAAAATAATAATAGCCAGAGCTTATATAGCACATTACATCTGTTATTTCATTCAGTCCTCACAACAATCCTGGAAGATAGGTGCTATTATTATACCCATTTCATAAAATAAGAATGAAACTAAGACTCAGAAGCAGAGTGACTTGCCCAGGGGCACACAGCTAATAATTGTGTGAAGCAGAATTAGAACTCAGATCCTCCTAACTTTATCCATTGGGTCACCTCGCTGCTTCAGTAAAATCACAGAGTTGGACTTGATGACCTCCAGGGTCCCTTCCTAGGGCCCCTGGGCAGTTAAGTGTCACAGCGGTTAGAGTGCTAGCCCTGGAGTCAGGAGACTTGAGTTCAAATTAGGCCTTAGACACTTACTAGCTGTGTAACCTTAGGCAAATCACTTAACCCTGTTGCCTCAGTTTCCTCATCTGTAAAATGAGCTGGAGAAAGAAATAGCAAATCTCTCTGGTATCTTTGTCAAGAAAACCACAAATGGGGTCACAAAGAGTCAGACATGACTGAAACAACTCAACAACCATAACAAAGGTCCCTTCCAGCCCTGAATCCATGATCAGGTCTCCAAGACCTAAGCAAAAGGTGAAAAATCTAGATAAATAGTTCAACCTCCCATTTCTTACTATCATTAGGTCACTTATTCTTCAATGGATTTCCAGAAGAAAAAAAAAACTACGTTTAGTTACAAAGTTGTAAAAATGATTGGAACAACACAACGGACCAGATATAAATGCCTTTCGTTCATTCGTTCAGATCATCTATTTGTGTACAAGCTTTACTGAGCGTGTTTTGTTCAATTCAACTCAACCGGCATTTACTGAGTACTTACAATGTACAAAGCACGGTACTAGGTTATGGTAATATAAAACAGCCCCGCCCCCCCCAAAAAAAGTCCCTATCCTCAGGAAGTTTACATTCTACCAGAACACAAAATCAATACAAAAAGTAATAAAAGATCATTCAAAGTGGTGAAAAGAACTAACAACTAAGGGAGACAGGAGGAGTGTCCTATGGATGGCAACATCTGAGTTAAGCAAAAATGAAATTAAAGATTCCAAGAGATGGAGGTAAAGAGTAACCAGGAACAGGAACCAACTCACTTATACAACAGTACAGAGGAAGGAGAGAGAATGCTAACTCATGGAAACAAAAAGTGGGCCAGTTTGGCTGAAGCACAAATTGAAGAAGATACTCACATGTAGTAAGTCTAGAAAGGTAAGTTGGAGCAAGATTATTGAGTCTGTACTTCTTCCTAGACACAAATGGGAACCACCAATGATGCTTGAGTGGAGAACCACAAAGATCCTTGTGCTTTTGGAAGAAAATTTTGGCAGCTTGTAGAGGATGGATGCAGTTAGATGGCATGTTGGGTAGTCAGTCAATAGTCAACAAACACTTACATAGTACCTGACACAAAGTTGGGGTTTAATAAATGTTTATCAACTGACTGACTAACTACTGGGTAGGGTGATAGAATTGGAGCCAGGAAGACCTTTGTACAAAACCTCATTTACTAGCTGTGTGGCCCTGAGCAAGTCACTTAACCTTGTTTGCCTCATTTTCCTCATCTGTAAAATGAGCTGGAGAAGGAAATGGCAAACCACTCCGGTATCTTTGCCAAGAAAACCACAAATGGGATCATGAAGAGCTGGACATGACTTTAAAACAACTAAACAACAAAATAAATGCTAACTTGACTAGGGTTCTTCATCTTTTGTAATTACACACTTTGAGAGAGACATTATTTTCTAAGCAACTGAGTTACCACTTACCAGACTTAATAAATTATATTCCAATGACATGAATGAGCTACCTTAAAAAGTCCATGACTACAAATAAATGATTTACTCATCTGGAGGAGCTAGTTAATCCAGTAAATCTTGGACTATTGACCACACTACTGATTAAAAAGAAGACTTTTGCTGAAAGATCAAAATCTAAGATTCTGAAAATTAATGAATTTCAAAGGGTTTATCACCCCAATGTCATCATCTATTTCATGAAAAAAACGTAACCTAAATTTTTACAACCATAGAAGCCTAGCACTGGAGAAGGTGCTGGAGCTCATCTAGTTCAACATTCTCAATTTCCAAATGAGGAACTTGAGTCCTAGAAAGAGGACATCACTTATTCCAATTCACAAAACTAGTTAATTCAGACCTTTCAACTCTCATACAGTCTTTTTTCCACTAACCCATGCTTTTTTGCTAAAGCAAAGGCACAGTTTTATTCTTTTTGATTACTAGAATACATGACTCATTTTAGTACAACAGTAATTTGCACTACATTTTATCCTGACACCCCTCTAAAGCAGATTGATCCCAAGAGAGTAAATTATTTATTCACACCATCCAGAAAGCCTGTAATATAGCCAGAGAGTTCCCAAAGCTCTGAATTCCAGTGAGAATCACAGAGAACTGAAAGGGACCCTTGATATTAATTTAATTCCTTCTTTTCAAAGAAGCGGAAAATTATTTTTTGTTTGTGAGGATCATACGTTAAAAAGAGAAAAACAAATATGACAGGCAACTCTCAACTACTCAACATTCAAAGGGAGAAGAAAACATCTACTCTGTCTCCACTTCCCTCAAAAAAATAAAAGATATAGTCACACCCCATCTACCTGTTACACTTCCAACAATCTCAAACTTTCAAAATATTTTGGAACCCAAAAGTATGACAAAAACATGTGAAAAAGTATTAAACCCCCCCCCAAAAAAATAGCTATCACAAAGCTATCTTCTCAGGTATGGGTTAGAGGTGTTTTTTGTGGGTTTTCTTTTAACTTTACTCTTAATAGTGTTTTCCCAAACAACATTTGTTGTTCAGTAGTTTTCAGTTGTGTCCAACTCTTTGTGACCCCATTTGGGCTTTCTTGGCAGAGATACTGGAGTGGTTTGCCATTTCCTTTTCCAATTCATTTTATAGATGAGGAAACTGAAGTAAACAGGGTTAAGTGACTCACCCAGGGTCACACAGCTAGTAAGTGTCTGAAGCCAGATTAGAACTCAGAAAGATGAGTCTTCCTGACCCCGTGCCTAGCATTCTAGACACTGAGCCACCTAGCTGCCTTAATATCATTTAGTTTCACCCTAAATTACAATCAAGAATAGAGACCAGGGAAAGATTTGGGCAACAGGTTTAGAAGGCTTTAGAAAGACAATAACAAAAGATAGCCAGAGAGAAGTACCAATGGCAAGTGGAGACAATTTCTATTTATTAATAACAAAATGCAGCGAGAGGAGCTAAGGAAAGAAATCCCGTTCAAAATAATTACATATAATAAAATATCCGGGAGTTAACTGAGGAAAAGACACTAGTGACTATATGGATACAACTATAAAAACCTCTTTACAAATATAATAGAAAGACAAATAACTGGAACGATATTAATTGTTCATGATGGGGCCATACCAATAAAATTAAAGCGATGATACTACCAAAATTGATTTACAAATACAATGTTATGCCAAACAAGGGGTTATTCTCTATAATTAGACAAAATAATTACAAAATCCATCTGCAGGAACAAGGGAAATATTTTGAAAAAAGTAGGAAAGAAGGGAGACTAGCATTATTAGATCACAAACTAGAGTATTAAGCAGAAATCAGCACAACTGTCTGTAGGAATAGAGATAGGGACCGAATCTGTGATTTTGTTGATACAGGGATTCTCTCTTTGGCAAAAAAACTGTTGTGCAAACTGGAAAACAGTTTGGCAGAAAATTAGGCTTATATCAAAATCTTACCCCATATCAATAAATCAAAAAATATTTATTATGTACCTACAAGGTACCAGGCACTGGGGATAAAATACAATGAATGAAGCAACCCCAGATCACAAAGAGCTTGAGGGAAAGGCAAGGACTTAAAGAAACATAGATAGATGGATAGATAGATAGATGGATGGATAGATAGATAGATAAACAGACATATGACCATCTACATATATACATACACAAGCATACAAAATAAACACAAAGTATAAATACAAATAAATGCACTATCATTAGATAGAAGATAGTTTGAGAGGGAGGGCATTAGAAGTTGAAGAAATCAGGAAAAGCATCGTGTAAAAGAAGGTAATACTTGAACTGTGTCGTAACAGATTCTATGGGGCACAGGTGAAGGAATGCATTTCAGGCATGAGGGACAGTCAGCATAAAGACACAAAGATGACTGTCATACATGAGGTATGGAGAGAAAGCTGGATTGGCTGTATCATAAAATGCAGGAGGAGGAATAATGAACAAACAAAGGTATAAGATAGTTTGGGACAAGGTCATAAAGAGATTTAAAAGCTTAGCAGAAAATTTTATATTCGATTATAGAGACACTAGGAAGCCACTGAGTTTCTTGAGAAGAGAGATATAGTCAGATCTACGCTTAAGGAAGATTAGTTGGGTGGCAGTATGAAATAGAGAATAAGCCCAAATGCATGTACAACCTCCCTAGAAAAAGGTAAGGTTGTAAAAAAAATTAGAGGAAAATGAGGGCAGCCAAAATGTAAGAAGATTAACAATTAAAATAATGTAGTAAACTGAGGATAATAAGTGAAAGAAAAAACTGAGCCCAGTACAAGTCAGCAGTCCTGAGAGCATCACTCCACTGCAAATACTGTTCATAATACTGAGCTTGAATCATCAAGAAAGCATCAAATTATGTTCAGTATATTTGACAGTCTCTCATTCTCTTTTGGAATCTTTCCCTTTTAAAAATCTTGAGAGTTTATCCCCAAATGCCTTTAAAAGTGTATCTTCACCAAAAAAAAAAAAGATTACTAAAGAAGGTTTAATGGGTAGGTTTTAACTATTTGGAAATATACTTATGTGGACTAGATCATTTCCCAATGGTACTCTAAAAATGAGGCACTGTTGTTACTTAGCTTTGGAATAGAATAAGAAAAGCCCAGTGAGACATGCTCAGACACACAAATGTACAAACTAAGAAATTCAGAAGCTCATTTGTTTTCTCTATGCCTGGTTCCAAATCCTTCGTAGATTTGCCATACTGATGGTAGTCTAGGGTCATGTGGCTAATATCTTTGTAGATTACTATACCAAAAGAACAGGTTTGCAGTTTTGCTCAGTGGCATGATAGAGTATTCTGTTCCATTAAGTTGTTATTAAAATAAGGCCATGGGAAAATTGGAGTTGTCCCCCAAGGATAAGAAAAGTTGGAATATAAAGACTTTGGACTCCACTCATTATTCCACTTTTTTTTAAACATCACATGCTTAAACCTGCTGATTGTTTTGCCTTTTGTTTGGTGAATTTTCCATGAAAGCTTAACATAAGTCAAAATTAGTGCCATTCACTAAGGAGAAAGCTTTGCCCAATTCACACAAAATCAAGTAAAGCTTCTATAATCAACATAATAGAAATCACCTGGTTAGTGAGCCTATCCCATGCTTGTCTTAATTGAGATTGATCCTCGGCCAGTACAGCCACATTCCTTTTTATCGACAACACATCCAAAAAGGCTTTTTTTTCTTCATTGAATGACTCCAAAAAACCTTGCATGCCCTACAATTTGAATAAAGAGGTAATTTAACATGTATTCTTTATAACCCCAGCTATCAACCTCAGTTAAATATATTGTCTTTGTCTGTTCTTTACAAAAATCCATTCAAACTAGAGAGAAGTCCACTAATATTATGGCCTTAAACTTACTCTTCCTTCATTACACAGATTCTTCCTCTCAATCCACCCTAGAGTCATGGATACCAATATAATGATATATATGTCATCAAGATATATATCCCTGAGCTACATATCACTGGATCAGTGCTATGGCGATTCTACTACAATGTAACCAAATCCACCTCAATATGCAAGAGGAAGAAAAATAAAATGAGGGTCTGTGGAATATGTGATGACCTCATTAATACTTTTATTAATCTTTTGATACTTGCTGGCACTTAATCAGTGTTTGGTGATCAATTCTGCAATGTTTTTTGGAGGAAACAAAACTCTAAGACCAGGATAGAATTTTATAGTTAAGTAATTTTACTTTATGAATACTTTTCATCATTCTGCTCAATACAATAAGCTGCCTTAAAGATGGTTAAAGAAAAAAACATTGTAAATCAAAGTAAAGTGCTATATAAGTCAATAATTTTTGCACTTACTTCAGATTTTTTAAAGTATGTCTCCTTTTCTGATCCCCTCTGTAATTCATGCAACTTTTCTTCTTGTGAAATCAACCAGACTGTGGCATCTTTCACCTTTTCCTAATGGTCAGAACAACAACAAGAAAAGCACTTCAGTCACAGAATGGATAGTCATTAGATACATGGCAAAAATGATATGAACGACTAGTTCTCAAAAGAATTCCAAACTATTAACAACCATATAAAACAATACCCTAAATGACTAATAATAAAAGAAATGCAAATCAAAAAAACTCTGAGATTTCAGCTCACCCTGAAAATCAGCAAAGATGTTAAAAGATAGGAATAACTGATGTTGGAGAGGTTGTGGCACACAACTGCATTGTTGGCAGAACTTCGAATTACTATTTTGAAAAGTATTTTGGAATTATATAAATAAAGTCACTAAAATTTCCATAACTTTTGACCTAGAGATTCCACTGCTACATTTATACCCTGAAGATGCTATTAATAAGAAGGAAGTTCCCATTTACAACAAAATATTCATAGCAGCACTTTTAGTGGTAGCAAAGAATTAGAAATGAAGTGGATGCCCATCTACCAGGAAAAATGGCTAAACAAATTGCGGTATGAATAAAATGGAACATTATTGTTATAGAAGTGCTTAGCACAGTGCCTGGCACAAAATATGTGCCTAATAAATGTTTACTGACTATGAAAAATTATCAGTATGATAAATACAGAATTCAGAATTCACTCTGCATCAGTTTATATAGTTCTTTTCAACTCTTACTTTACTGAGAAAATTGAGATCATTTGCCATGAGTTCCCTATTCTCCCTTTATTGGCCCTCCCCCCCACCACCCGACACAGTCTCTGATAATGAGGTAGGCCTCCTCACTACCAAGGCGAATCCCTTTACAAGCATCCTTGATTACCACCCCCACCCCCTGGTGCCTACAGCAGATTGCCTCCTCAACCATGTCCTCTTTCTCAACAGCTACTGCTCTCTCTTAAATATCTTGTATTTATTCTCTGTATAATTATATATGTACTTGACAACTCCCTCCATCCCCAATAGAATGTAAGCTCCTTGAGAGTAGGAATTGCTCTCATTCTTTGTATTGGTATCCCCAGTGCCTAGCACATTAGGAACTTTAAAAATTCATTAACTGGTTGATTGACTGAACAGTTTAGGCAATCCCAAACAAAGATCCTAAGCACTTAGACAGTGCTATCATATCATACTACCCAACAAAAGCTGGCTTGGATATTTTGATTATCTTAGGTGTAGTGAATTTGCCTGTGTCCAAAGACAGAATCCATATTTTGGCAGCATCAGAAAAGGTAGATTTTATTTTATACTTTTCTAGACTTCATTCTCTATAATGCAGAGATTTTTTTTTCTATTAAGCCAAAGAAACTCTTCTCTCATTCCACTCTGCATCATGAACAATCAAATTTAGTTTCTTCATCCAGATTTTGTTTCCAAAAAAATTAATTAGGAAATCAAGGAGATAGTAGCTGCCTGATGGGTTAGAAATGATTGAACTGAACTGCAGAGAAATTCAGTTTGTGCATCTCTTCCACATCAGGCAAGGCTCTGGCTTAATATATACAAAATTGTGATTGGCAAAAAATAAGCCTAGGATAAGTTTCAAAATATACAAGGTGACTATGTGGTTAAATTTCCGGGAAAAAAAATAATCAGCAGCTTATAAGTATAGCTATGCTTTTATTTATCTAAATGGAGAGTTCTTAACTCTGCATCATTTTGTGTCCTTTGGGAATCTGGTAAAGACTACAAACCCTTTCTCAGAATAATATTTTTAATGCAGAAAATAAAATACAAAAAATTACACAAGAAATCAATTATAATTAAGTAGTTATCAAAATACAGTTTTCCAGAGTCCTCAGGCTCCAGGTTAAGAACTCTTGATCTAAATGGCAGCCAAGGAGGGAATGGAGGGAGTCTCATTGTATGTTTCTTTCAGTCCTATGAAGTTTCAGCCTCCCAATTATGCTTCTGATTGACAGGTGTGACAAAAGAAATGGTCAAATTACTAAATAATAGTATAAGGACAATTTTCATGACAACTTGATACAAGAATGACAAAGAAACATTTTAACAGTTGAGAAAACAATAAATAGAGAAAAAAATTAACTTCATTGGTGATAATACAAACAACTACCTGAACTTCATCTCCAGCCACAGGCAAATCTTTGGAATACTGAAGAAATTGGGCCACATATGTCATGATTGACTTTTCATCCGGGTTGATAACATCAACATCTGTAAAACAGATCATACCATTAGTTATTTTTTTTATCAGTTTCCAGTTTGATCATAAAATTTAGTATAGTCATCATGTAACTAAGTATAAATTGAAATATAATTCTTTAACTTAATTTTTCTTGCTTTTTTGTGACATGGCTAATATGGAAATAGGTTTTACATGATTTCACATGCATAATTGATATATTATGTGCTTTCTTAATGGGTGGGGAAGAGGTAGGAGGGAGGGAGAAAATTTGGAACTCAAAAAGAATGTTACAAATAAATAATATTTTTTAAAATTGGCAACAAAAATGAAAATAAAGTCAATAGATATGTGTTTAACAATAATTCACTCACCAGAATAGATTATACTATATAGCAGCCTCAACCATAATCCCAAAATAGTCCTCACCCTAAGAGTCTCTGGCTGCCTGCCCACTAGAAGTTACAAACAGTAAAACAGAGCCAAGAGTGGCAGAAGGCAAAGACTTTCTTGGCTCACAGAGGCTGAGAAATCAGAAAGTGGAAGATTGGATAAGTAACAAAAATATATATTCCTTTGAACTTCACTATTTCTGAATTTATGATGATTAGGAAACAGATTAAGCTGTGATTTACCAAACAAGTTATTCCCAAATGATAAAAAACTAGGGGAATGGCATGCCAAAGTAGCCATTTGGCTAGTTCCAAGGTAGAGAATCTAAAAATGACTGTATCTGAGTATATTCTTTTTTTTATATCTAAATTCAGTGCTCTTAATAAAATGTATTAATTTTTCTACATATCATACTTGGATTTGGAAGTAACTTATAAAATGTATGGGTGGGTCATTTATAATGAAAACTGCCAGAGGGCTGTTGATGCTTGTGTTCCAAACTGTAGCTCAACTGATACACTCTTTTGGCCTGATTTTATGGATGCTAAGAAAGCTTCACTGAAGCCTCAAATTAAACTGAGATTTATTGCATTGTACTCAGTTAAAATGTATACACTCTAGAGAATGGGTAAATGAATTCTATAGTCTTCAGTTTTCCTCATTTGCAAAATAAAAGAGAACAGAAAATATGCAAAGTCCCTCCCAGTTCTAAATTGTCTAATACTACAATAAACTATTAAGTGTCACTAACATCCTAATGTGAATTAGGTAGCCAGATCCCTTACAATATGATCTCAAGATGAAGGAAGATTTTGAATGAAAGAAGTTGAATAATAGAAACTTTGTGGTGGGACACTAGGCATAGCAGGGAAGTCTTGGCCAGTGAAGTAGTGTGAGACCACTGAGTCCTTAGAGAGAAAAGAGAGGCTAGACAGGAGGGAAACGGTTGAAAAGGTACCTAAGACTAACTTTATCTACTGCACAGTATTGCCCAAGGATCTGGCCTGCAGGGTTATCACCAATAAACATAGTAACCAGTGGCAGTGAGTCACAAGATTTTCACTGCTGGGAAGCAAATTCCATTTTTGCCACAGATTAGATATCATTAAAGCTTACAGAGCCAATTTATAAACACTACAATTTCCTTCAGGGGAACAACTACATGTGGTAGGGTTTATAGAGAATCCAAGTTCCTCCCTTATGTCCTACAAGGGGTCCTCCCTCAGGAGCCATGGCAATTCTTTAACATCACCCCTTATGCTAGACCCAGAAAGTGAATTGTGCCTAATAGTGCAGGTAATGCAGGAAGGAAATGCTTCCCTCCTTGAAATAAGAAGTTACAACCCAAGGACTTCCTTGTAGAAATCAGAAGCCTTAGAATTTCACTCAGGAAAGAGACAAAAGGATTTTGGCATTTATATAGATGGAATCATTAGAGAAGTATGAAAACATACTTAAGAGTTTTTTTTTTAATTGTTACAGAATCACTTAACTGTAATGTCCTAAGAACTCCTGGGCTTTTCCCTACACCCTGGAGCTATTATTGTTTAGTCATGTTTCAGTCATGTCTGACTCTTCATGACCCCATTTGGGGTTTTCTTGACAAAGATATGAGAGTGGTTTGCCATTTCCTTCTCCAACTCATTTAACAGATGAGGAAACTGAGGCAAACAGGATTAAGTGACTTGCCCAGGGTCATGCAGCTGAGGCCAGCTCTGAATTCAGGAAGCTGAGTCTTCCTGACGCTCTATCCATTGCACCACCTACCTGTCCATGGAGCTAGAACCATCCTATACATGCTTGTCTCCTCCAAGTGGAGTGTGAGCTTCTTGAAAGCAAGGATTTTGTTTACTCCTCTATTTGCATCCCTAGTGCTTAATGTAGCCAGCCCTTAATAGATGCATTTTCATCTGTTAAATGCAGATAATATTAGCACCTAGCTCCCAAGGTTGTTGTAAGGATAAGATGAGATAATGTTTGTAAAAAGCTTTGCAAACCTTAAAGCACTATATAAATGCTAACTATTATCATCATTATTACTATTTTCATTCATTGTATTCATTCACATCCTCAACTAGATCTGTGAAACTATCTTGTCTAACCTAGACATTCCAATCAAATGAAATCAACTGGAATTCAATCCAGATCATAATGCTAAAGGTGTGGGAAACAATGAATAAATCATATGTAATCTTCCAATCTCCCAAGGTATGCTGTCAGAAGATTACAGATTACAGAAAAAAAAAGTATTATTTAATCAGAGCATACTAATACTGAAAAATAGATAAATAATCATGCCAGTTTCACAAGTTTACTCCTTTTTGAAACTACAAATGAAATATGCAGGTAGACATATCAACAACCTTGCAAAAGCATTTGGGTCAAGAGATGACTCACATATTCACAAGTGACTACTATGTTTGGATTACATCAGTAATTAATGTTGAATTTGAAATGACTGAGTTAACTGGTTCTCATACGTTGTAATAAAGCAAGGACTATCATTCTCAAGAAAATTACCTCTTTTAGATTATTTCATTAGTTTCTTAATTGTCTGAAGATACAAAAATGTTAAATTGTTTTATAGCTAATGAAGATTTAGGGAGTCATACCAAAGCAAACAAATAGATAGAAATAAGAAAGTAGGACAGAAAAAGAGAAAACTACAAAGAAAAGGGAAGGGAAATGTTCCAGAAGTGGGGGGGAAAGCAGAGAAGAGGAAGAGATGAGATAAAGGAAGAAAAAATGATGAATATTACTTAAAGAAAAAATTTATGGTAAAACTACTAAATTAATAAAAGAATCAATAAAATGAACAAAAAGAAACACTATCTCCTGAACAAGATCTTAGGAATCATCATTTTTAAAGATTTAGAAATAAATATAGAAAATTAAGTAAGAAACAGAAGGATGTTCCAGGGTTTCACAGCTGACAAACAACAGAGTTGAAAGTACATCTCTGGTGTCTGGACTCCTATTTTATTCCCCCATAAGCTGCATTGCCTTTTTACATTTGTGCTATATAAAGCTATACAGATAAATCACTAACTCTGACTTTAGCCTTAATCTCAACATCATTCTCTAACCATTCTCCTCATCCAAAGCCATCCTCTCTATGTGTGCCCTTAATCCCTTCACATCTTCTCAAGCTTATTGCCCCCTTGATTATCCTCCCTCTAATCTAAAACTTCTCCCTTTACCCTTAACAGACATGCCTGTCTCCCCCATTCTTTAAAAATTTTGATTTGTTGTGAACTGATTCAACCATCCTGGAGAGCAATTTGAAACTGCATCCAAAAGGCTACAAAACCATACATACTCTTTGACCCAGCAAAATCACTACTAAATCTGTATCCCAGAGATAAAAACAAAAAGGGAAAGCACCTATATGTACAAAAATATTTATAGCAGCTCTTTTTGTGGTGGCAAAGAATTGGAAATTGAGGAATGGCTAAACAAGTTGCAATATATGATTGTAGTGTAATACTATTTTGCTTTAAAAAAGGATGAGCAGGATGCTCTCAGAAAAACCTAAAAAGACTTGCATGAACTGATAAAAAGTGAAATGATCAGAACCAGAAGAACATTGTACAAAGTAACAGCAATAGTGTACTATGATCAACTGTGAATGACTTAGGTATTCTCAGCAATACAATGATCCAACACAATTCTGAAAGACAAATGACGAAAAATGCCATTCAGTTCCAGAGAAAGAAATGATGGAATATGAATGCAGATCAAAACATACTTTTTTTTTACTTTTTTTTTTTGGTTTGTGTTTTCTTTCACAACATGACTAATTTGGAAATACATTTTGCATGACTGCATATGTATAACCTATATCAAATTGCTTGCCTGCTCAAGGAAGAGGGAGGGAAGGGAGGAAAAGAGATTTGGAACTCAACATTTTTTTAAAAATGAATGTTAAAAATTGTTTTTACATGCAATTGGGAAAAATTAAATATTAAAAAAGGGAAAAAAATTCACTTGACTCTGCCATACCCTTAAGTTATCATCCTAGCTCTCTTCTCTTTCATAACCAAACTCTTAGTAAAAGCTGGGTGCTCTCATTGCCTCCACTTCCTCTCATCTCACTCCTTTCTCAATCCCTTACAATCCAGCTTCCATAAACAAAAACACTTCTCTCCAAAGTTACCAATGGTCTCTTAATTGCCAAATATGAGGCTTCTATCTCCATCTTTACCCTTCTTGACCTCTGCATTTGACATTGCTGACCATCTTTTCTTCTGTTTTCATGATCATGCTTTCTCATAGTTCTGCTCCTATCTGCCTAACCACTCCTTAGTTTCCTTTGCTAGATTATTAGCCATATTACATCACCAAACTTGATGTGTATACACACACACACACACACACCAAGGCTCTATCCTGAGTCCTCTTCTCTTTTGTCTTTACCCTCTGTTTGAAAGCTCATTAGCATCCATTGTTTAATTATCATCTTTATGTAGATGTATTGATAAATTTATTGTGAATTATTCTCCAACATGTCAAAATTTATATGAATAACATGACCCTGAGGTTTCACCTTCCACCCTTCAGATTAGAAACAATGACAAACAATGAAAATGGTAAATGTAAGAGCTATAGGAAGAAAGAAATATTAAAGTACTGTTGGAGAACTGTGGATTGATCCAAAAGTTCTGGAGAACAATTGGAATTATCCTAAAAATATTAATTAAAGTATACATGCTCTTTGCTCCAGCAATTCTGCTATTAGGCATAGATCTCAAGAAGCATAGAGTCTAAGGAAAGGTTTTTTACATACAGCAGCATTTTTGCAGTAGAATTACAGAATTTTAGAGAAGGAAAGGAACTCAACAGCCACTTACTCTAATCCATACCTTAAAGGAATCCCTCCTATAATGTACCAGATAAATAGTCATCAAACCTAATGAAGATCATGAAGATCTTCAAAGAAGGAAAAGTTACTAAAACCAAGGGCATCCATCTATTCTACTTATAGATAGCTCTAACTGTTAGGAAGTTTTTCTTGACATTAAGCCTAAATTCATTTCTTTCTGACTTCCCCATGTTGATCTTGCTTCTGCCTTCTGGGAAGATAAAACAAGTGAATTCCCTTTGCTAAGTGACAATCTTCCAAATAATTAAAGACACCCATTATGTCCTGCCATGTCTCTTCTCCAAGATAAACATCCCCAGTTCTTTCAAATGGTCTTCATGTGACACAGATTCAAGGTCCTTCAGCTTTCCTACTGCCTTCATTTGGACACTCTCTAGCTTATCAATGCCCTTCTTTAATTGTGGGACCCAGGGATGAACACAATACACAGATTAGGTGTGACAAGGGCAGAGTACAGTGGTACTATCATCCTATTCCTGGAAGTTATGCCTTTCTTATTGCAGCTCAAAATTAGCTTTTTTGGCTGCCCCGTCACACTGATGACTCATATGGAGCTTACAGTCCATGAATACATCCAAATCATCAGAACAAGTGTTGTCTGACCATATTATGTAGGAACAATATTTATTTTTATATAGGTTGGAATGGTCCCATTCATAAGGCAAGGAGACTGTCCTTGTGATTTGGTTGGTTCAAAGTGATAAGGTTATAAAAAGCCCTATCTACGAGGAGTTCACATCCTTGAGTTTGGCAGAGTTCTAATTGCCCTGTGGAATTGCTTTCTAAATCAAGATAGATAGGCCCTAGAGAATTCAAAGTTGAAAGGGAGCAGTAGCTGTTTTCACTTAATTACATTCTTTTACTCCTTTGTTATAAAAGTCATTTTTTGTTTCAATAGTGTTTCATTGTAGTCCTAAGCCTGACTCTATGGACTGGCCTTGTCAGCATTGATCATGGAACAAAACACTGTGCATACCCCCCCAATCTTATACTTATGAAGCTAATTTTTTGCATCCAAGTGTAAGGCTATTTATCACTACTGAATTCCATCTTATTATATTCAAATCAATGCCCTAGAGCAGTGACATCTAACTCAAATAGAAATAAAAGCCACTAAGGCATACATAAGGATTCCTGCAGGCCACATGCTTACTTATTATCTGTGTTTTATTGTATTTTTAATTGTTTTGTAAAATATTTCCAAATTACATTTTAATTGGGATCAGACCACACTCAGGAATGTCGTGGGCCTCATACAGTCCATGGGCCATGTGTTTGATACGTCTGCTCTAGACTACCAGAACCTTTTAGGGTCTTGACCCATTTACCCAGTGTGATAACTATCCCTCCCAATTTAGGGTCACTTGCAAATTCAATAGGCATGTCATCTATGTCTTTATCCAAGACATTGATAAGAAGGTTAAACAGCACAGAGCCAAGTACAGATCTCTGGGGTACAACAGTGGAAGCTTTCTAGAAGGTTGGAATTGAACCATGCATAGCTACTCTTTACTCTCTACTTCAAAAAACCAGGGTCCCTCCCATGTTGTGATGAGACATTAGAGTAGAACTTTGGTTGGAAGACCTAAAATTATTGAAGTTTAAAAACCCATGGGAATACTGGCTTGTATTACAAAGATCAATAAATGGCTCAAGTGAATCACCCACTTCCATAAATATTATTACTGCTATTTCTCTTGAATATGAATAATTTTGCTGTGATATTCATGAAGATTATCAATCAAGATGTGGAAGGGTCATGACCTACACAGGTAGATGGAGTACCAGCACCATGAGTAAGGATTTCAAAGAAGAAAAAAGAGTCATAGGGTGATAAAGAGGAGAGAGATCATTTACCTTCTGGATCCAACAGCCTGGGGATGTTTAGTTCATGTTCTGCAATCCTGAATGCCTCTTTTAAATTGTCTCTGCTGGATCTACCCTTTGCACTGTTCATATCAATTAGGTCTGGTTTCAAAGCATGAATGACAGCTAAAAAAGCCATCCCATTTCTCCAACTTGATTTAAAATCTGTAACATTCACAGATCCATGCCTATTACAAATAGAAAAGAAAGTATGAAAAATAATTTTTACAAAACTTTATCAGAACCTTTTCTACTCTAATGAATAGCAAATAAAGAACCACGTTACTAGTCATAGGAACAATATAAATTATTCCAGGAGGAAGTCTTTATTTGGCCTTTTCCTTTGGTGATCTAATTGTGAGGTTTGGTGAGGCCCAGGATCAATCATCAATCAATCAATATTTATTAAGTGCCTACTATGTACCAGGTACTTTGTTAAGGGCTGGGGATACAAAAAGAGTCAAAAGATAGTCCCTGTTCTCAAGGATCTTACACAAAAGCTCTGCTGTTGGATGGGCCTAATTCAGGTAGTTTAAATTCAGTATTTAAACTAAATGTAACACTTGTAGGTGACTGAAAGTTAAGAAAAGGAGGTTTAATTAGCCTTAACATGGAGAAGATGCACACCAAAGATATACTGTCATCATATATAATAACTTGGTCAGTTGAAGGGGGTGTGATGGCTGGGTGGGGCCTTGGAACAAGGCCTAAGAATAGGCTTATTTATTACCCTTAGGTGACTAGGAAGCCATGGTCAAACTGGATTGAGGCCATCAGAAAGCCCCAGGAATCTAGGAAATATGGCCCTTAGACCAATCAAGTCAACACTTTCCTTATTTTTGGGAGAAAGAACCAGCCTCTTCCTTCTTGGGCCTAATTCACTAGGACAAAGTGTAAAGACTGCCACCTAATTGAAGTTAAAAAGCCCATGGGAATGTTGACTTGTATTATAAAGATTAATAAATGGTTCAAGTGAATCACCCACTTTCTTAAATATTATTACTACTATTTCTCTTGAATATGAATGATTCTGCTATGACATTCAAGAAGATTATCAACCTTTCACCCATCATCTGTGCCTGAGAAGCACAGATACGGATGAATGGAAGGGTAGCATGGTGATAAAAGGGAAACCTAGCACATTCTCATTACAAGACAGAAAAATCAGTCTCCCTTCAACCTGGAGGAGCTATAGATGGTGAATAAGATTGAGTTTGTACCAGGAGCCATAGTAATTATATCAGATCATAGAAAATAACTTACATGGCACATTGTTCCTGGGCCCATAAAAGAAGGGCCTTCTTTGCAGACATCTTCCATCTAGCCTGTGCTTTAGAACGTTTCTTAGGTGGAGGCCCTGAAGTTTGAGATAAGTCCACAACACTCACACAATCCAAAGAAGGTTTATTATAATTACAAGAAAGAATCCAAGCCAGTTCTTCAATCTAAGGAAAGGAGAACCCAAAGTTAATGGCAATTAACCTCTGTATCTTCACCTAGTAAGAGCTTAATATATTTTTGTTCAATGAATAAAGGCACTGAAAATTGTAAACTAGGAGAAACTGAAGAGTATTATAAAATCTACTCATACCAAGAGTGAGCCAGACAATGGAAGAATATTACAAACATCAAGTGAGGGTTAGAGGTGCTGTCTGTTTATTTGTTTTGTTTTTCCAGAGCAGATTTGGCTTATTATCTCTATTCTAGAATAGCCAGGAAGATACAATCTCATTCACTTTGCAGTAGTTGCTGAGGAAATGGAGGAAATAGTTGTAGAGGATTTAAGTTGGGCAAATACATTAGACATCACAGAATAAGCATCAACTTCTAGCCCAAAGGCTACTTGACCTTTTTTTATATCATAGACCCTTTGACAGGCTGGTGAAGTGTATGAACACTTTTTTTCAGAGTAACATTCTTAAATGCATAAGATAAAATGCAAAGAATTACAAAAGAAGCCAGTTATACTGAAATAAAGATATAATTTTTTTTTCCTATCTGTGTTCATGGACCTCCTGAAATTTATGCACAATTCCATTCCCAAGTGGGTCTAGTTTATAGACCCAGAATAAGAAGCCCTGCTCTAGCCTGAGAATGTCCCAAATTGAACCTTTGTGCCCAACATTATTAAAGACATAAATGGTAGCTGTTCACACTTACATAGCGTTTTAGTTTTATAACAACTCTAAGGGACAAGTAGAACAATTATTTTTTGATATAGACTTGTGATTTCATTAGTGTAAGGAGTTCCTAGAGTAGAAAAATCCCTGTACTGATGCCTATTGGCAACTTTTCTGTACCTTATATAGTACTAAAGAGTAGCTTCTGGCATTGAAGAGAGAAGTGATTTGTCCATGGTAATACAGCTACTGTCAGAGGCAGGTCTTGAGCCCATTTCTTCCAGGTTCTAAAGCTACCCTTCTATCCACTGCCTATTTGTACAAGTACCATTATCTCCTTTTCACTGATGAGGAAAAGGCTTAAAACTAAAGATGAAGTGACTAACCAATGATCATATAGCTATTAAGTATCCAAGTCAGTATTCAAGTCTATCCAATACTCTGTCCGCTACAACCTAGTTGCTTCTCTAAAAAGATTTTAATTAAACAGCAAGTATTTACTGAGCATAAACAGAGTCCCTAGCAATGTACTAAGATTTGGGTTTTAGGATTCCAGTCCTTGATATTCAGTAGTTTAGTGTTAGATTATCTGAAATATACATTATGGCCAAACTAAGGTACCATGTTAGTTTAGCGTTCGACTTTGGCTTGAAAATAGCTTTAAAAGTACAAACTATAGGTGTGGTGGAAAGACCACTGAACTGGAAAACTATAAATCCTAGGTTTGACTAGGCTGCCATTTTGTGACACTAGGTTAAGTGATTACTTGATTAAGTGACTACTTAACCAATTTAGGTGAAATAAGTATAACTTTGTTTGTTACCACCAACCTCATTGAGTTGATATAAGCCAAATGTTATATAAATGAGGGCTATTATCATTGGGCATCTAGGTGGCACACTAGAGTGCCAGTCCTGGAGTGAGAAAGACTGATCTTCCTGAGTTCAAATCTGACATCAGACACTTCCCAGCTGTGTGATCCTGGGCAAGTCATTTAACCCTGTTTGCTTCAGTTTCCTCATCTATAAAATGAGCTGAAGAAGGAAATGGTAAATCACTTCAATATCTTTGGCAAGAAAACCCCAAATGGAGTCATGAAGAGTCAGACATGACTGAAAGGACTGAATAAAATTATTATTATTATCATTAATAATAACTAGAAAATATCTATTACACCCTTTCTTAAGTACTAGAACTTCAAGAGCATAGTAGATTTTCAAGAGTTTGATTAATGTGGATTCATATTCTTTTTATTGTGTTTCATAAAAGCAATTATTGAAAGGAGATGCATTGTTGCATACAACCAAAGTACTTACGTGAAAGTGTAATATAATAGTCCAAATTAGACCAAGAATAATAGATGGATTTCCTTCTACGATATCAGTTACATGAATATTTATGAGCTTGATCTGGGAAAAGAAGAGCACAGGTTAAAAGAAGAAAATATCCCACAGCATGAATCTATTCCTATTATTAATTTTTATTTTAAATTTTAAGTTTATACTTACTGATCGTTTCTTGAGAAATGTCAAGGCATGTTCTATGTTGCTTCTGCACTGAAAGGTGTTAGATCCTTTCTCCCGAGCCTGTAAGTTTCAAGGGAAATGTCATTCACAAATAAGAGGGGTTTTTTTTTAGGAAAAAATTGTTAACAAAAAATTTTCAATTACTATCTAAAACCTTACCAATTGTTGGCCTGAAAGTACTTCCAACAGATCCAGGAGAACATGTCCTTTTTTAATATCTGTGAAGAGATCTGTTATGACTGAGGGAGGGATATGCTGAAAAACAAGGTTTGGAAAATTGTTACTTAAACTTTTCAGTTCAAAAATGAACATCTTTCAGAATATCATAAAAAAAATCAAGTATCTATTTAATAGGGAATCATTTTCTACTTACTTTAATAGAAAACAAAGTTTTAAGCCGACAAATTTAACAAATTGAATTCATCTCATGGTAAATTTCTAGTAAAGAAACTCCTTTCAGGAATAGATCTTGCATTGACTTTTGTGTGAAATACACACTTTTAAGTGCCAATAAAGACCTATAGAATCATATTTATTCATACATTCATAGAAAAAGAATGCTATGTGGTGCTTCCAGTCTCCTTTTGGAATTAGAATAATAATAGAACATAGGTACACAGGGAGAGAGAGACATGTAGAAAATCTACATTCCATTTGACTATTATATTTCTGTTTACCTAACATAATAAGATCAAGAGAAAAAAGAAAACATTACAACTTTAAATATTTTTAATGTCACTATCTGTCAGAGCCAAATGCCCAGGATAATGCCTTAAAAGGTGGTTTTCCCCCTTGTTAAAAACTGAAATTCAGAATTTTTTTCCCTTATTCTTTCTCATGTAAGTTCTACACCTTATCTGTCCTCTCTCCTTTCCCAGCTCCTTGTCCCCAATTTGATTATGAATTACTTTCTTCTTGTGCTAGGAAAGAAAAGCAGAAAAGCTGATGAAAGATCTCTGCCATGGTCACTTTAGCGTCTTTTGTCAAACAAAGGCATGCCACAACCTGTCATCAAGTCAGTATTTACAAATCTTGTTCACTGCAAAAACTAAGGATGATAACAAAACCAAAAAAAGTCCCTTAAGATTCAGCTTCTTATTTATTTTGTCTTTTATCACTCACCTTTGCCAACTGTGAATTTATCCAGCAGGTAAACGTTTTCTTCTGCGTATGTTCTTGTTCAGCTGTGGAATAAGACAAAGAAAGCAACAGTGAAAAAGTGAATTGGAATTTACTAAACTCTCCACAAAGTCAAGGTAAACACTTTTTAATTATCCCAAAGCTTTAAAGTCGTGCCACCTTTGGATTTTTTGCCTGATTCTAAAAGGGGTAAAGAAAGTACTCCAGAAATATAGTGGATGATTTTCAGAAAAACCAACTATTTAAAAAAAACAAGATTTGAGGATAATAATGGTTTTTCTAAAGATATTAATAAAGATCATGAAATAGTTGTCATTTAATTTTTTTAAATTTCTATCTTTTTAGCTTCTCATAGGAGACATGACTCTATGGATAGAATTTAATTAAGTGAACCACAGGACAAAAAAATTTTTTTAACAAAACTCCTTTTCAATTTTAAACAAGAATCTAATCTTGTCCAGATAATATGACTGTCTGAATGGAAGCTGACAGGCCAGCTCTCACACACCTATTTCAGAAAAAGCTAAAAAACAATGTCATCCCCAATTGGGATCAAGAAATCCAATGAGAAAATATAGAAAGAGATTTCATCCACTCAGGAACTGAATAAAAAGGCCATCATAAGACCATGGGCAGTACAAAAGAGTACCCTCCAGAAAGCCAACTCTGATGGAAGCCTCCCCCTATGCTACCAGAGGCAGTCCAGAGACACAAGGCTCTGTAAATAAAGACAACAAGAGCAGAGTATTCCCACCATAAAACTCTAAGGTGATCAGAAATCCACAACTTGGACCTTGGAAGTGACTGGCAGAGGCAATGACCAGTCATAGAATGACATCAACCATTCTAGGAATGGCAGTGACCAATACTGGCATGGCAGGCCACAAAGGTTCCTAGGTCCATATCATTTTTTTCCTCTGATGCCCTAGAGGACCCTGAAGATTCAGGGCTGTGAGTCGCAAAGATCCAGAGCTACTCAAAACCTACTAACACTCTTAACATGGAGACAACCCAAACGGTAGATACGAGAACAGGAACCCAGATGACCTGGGTCAAGATCAAGCAAAGGCAACCATCTCATTTGGGTATAGAAAGAGAACAAATAGCTTAGAAGATAAAGTGGTAAACCTTACCCAAGAAATAGATTGTGTAAAAATTAGAATAGAACGAAGAGAAATCAATAGCTCCATGAGAGAACACCAAAAGATTGAAAAAAAAAATGAAAGAAAATGTAAAGTATTTACTATTTAAAAAATCACCTAGAAAAGAGGTCAAGGGGAGATAATTTAAGAATTATCATACTTGCTTAATAAATGAAATTTATGAAGATCTATTATTACCACAGGGCAAAGTGAAAATAGAATGAATCCACTATTCACTTCCTGTAAGAAACTCTAAAAGGAAGAGTCCCATGAATGTTATAGCCAAAATCCAGAGATTCTAGGTCAAAAAAAAAAAAAAATACTGCAAAAGTAGAAAGATAGCATTCAAGTACCAAGGAACCACACTAAGAATCACAAAAGACTTGGCAGCAACCATTACAAAGAAGAGAAAAATCTTGTAATACGATATTCTAAAAGTCAAGAGATATAGGTTTACAAGCAAGAATATCTTACTCTGAAAAGCTGAGTATATAAGCCTATGGGGGGCAGGAACAGGGGCAGGGGAATGAACCTTTAATGGAATTTAATCAGGACTTTTAAGCATTTTTGAACAAAAACCAGAGCTAAGTAGAAATTTTGAAACATAAACACAAGTTAAGAGAAATGTAGAAAGATGATGTTTTTTGAACAATTGGAAAGATTTAGAGAATGATGCTAATATTCTAACAGGAGAAAAAGAAACTTGTGTGGTCTCTTCAGAACTTTAATCTTTTCAAAGGACAATGTAGTTAAATAAGAAAAAGAGAGTGCCTAAAAGTATGTTGTTTCTGTTCTGATACTTTTAAGAGGATAAAGAAAAGTGTTACAGTCAGAGGGGAGGTGAAAGATATGAAAAATAATACAGAAATAAGGAAGAAGGGGTGGAACTTATTTCTCATAATCAATTATGTGCAAATAATAGACAGAGAAGAAGAAGTGAGGTGAACAGGAATCAATCAACCTCAGTCTTATCTGAAATCCCTAAAGGGTAATTTAATAAATACACACACAATAACAACAACAACAACACCACACAGGTATAAAAATACATCAAACTCAACAAGGAAACAGTCAAGTATAGGAAAAAGCAGGGTTAAGAGGAAGGATAATACCAGATAGGGAACATTTGTAAGCAAAACAAACTTTATCTTCAGAGAGTGAATTCTGAAGGGAAAATTAAAAGGAAAAGAAAGAAAGAATTGATTGGAACCATTGATGGGGTCTGATCAAGGGGAAAAGAGGAGGGTCAATGGAACCGAAGTACATTGCCTCATATATAAACCACTAGTGATAATCCTATTCCTTCTCTTTCATCATTTTTTTTTGTAAAATATGGGATAGAGAGGAAACCCCAACTGGGAAAAAAAATCTTTGCACCATGTTTTTCTGATAAAGGCTCAATATCCAAGATACATAAGAAACTGATACAGATATACAGAAACACAAACCATTCCTGAATTAATGAATGTCAAAGAATGAGAAAAGGCAGTTCTCAAAATTAAGCAGAGGCACAGCTATATGAAAAAATGCAAAAATCATTAACATAAGAGGGGCATCTCACTGCCCCCAACCCCAATTAATGTAACTGATTCTAATACCTTTATCAGGTAAGAATACCTCTTGGGCTAAATGATAGGATCAATCAGTCAAATATGTAAACTGGCTTTGATAATTCCTAGATGCTTCTCTTGAATCAATCAATCACCAGTATAAGCCACATTGGAAGAGGGAATACCATTGGATAAAATCCAATGAAGAAATATACCCAGATTAGTTAAAGGAATCAAGCACACCTCCAGGCCTAGACATATTCCAACAGGAGCATTCTAGTAATGACTTCAGAAGTTATGGCTTGAGAGCACTTGTGGAGCCAGACCCTTGTGCCAATACTAGAAGGCAGCAAGGGATTATAGGAAGGATGGGGGTTAAGTAGGGAAGGAGTGTCCTCAGAGGAACATGAGCTCCAGTTCTATTCGATGAACTACCCATTAGACATTTTGAATTGGATGTCCTGTATGTATCTCAAACTCAACATGCTCTCCCCCAAACCCATCCCTCTTCCAAACTTTCCTTTTACTGTCAAGTGCACATCTCTGGTGTTGTCCTAGACAACTTACTTTCACTCACCCCACCTAGGTTATCAGTTGCCAAATATTATTTTTCTATCTACATAACACCTTTCCCAAACATCCCTTCCTCTCTATTTACCGTGCCACCACCATAGTTTTGTTAGTCTTTTTCAGTCATGTCTGATTCTTCATGACCTCATTTGAGTTTTTCTTGGAAAGAAACTGGAGTGATCTTGCCATTTCCTTCTCCAGCTCATTTTACAGATGAGGAAATGAAGGCAAATAAGGTTAAGTGGCTTGCCCAGGGTCACATAGCTAGGAAGTGTCTGAGGTCAGATTTAAACTCAGGAAGTGAGTCTTCCTGACTTCAGGCCCAGCACTGTATCCACTGTACCACCTAGGTGCCCCATATAAAGGTTAACTGTTATTATTGTTGTTGTTATTATTCACTACCTTTCTAGTCTTCTTACACTCTATTCTTCTCCATGTACTGTGCTACCTAGCCATATGGCCCATATGGGTCTACTTGTTCTAAACAGTGATAGAATGAGGATTCCCCTGTTTACCCCCAAAAAAGAGATTAATTTTCCCTAAAAGGCAACAAAGTTATTTCTAGGACTTGATTGGTCCCTGATTCCCTTGATAGCTTCCTGGTCACCTAAGGGTATTAAAAAGTCCTACCCACATGGAATCGGGGCTTCTCCGACCTAGATTTCTGAAGACCACCTGACTCAACACCCCCTGCCTTGCTGACCAGACAAGATTACACATGGACAGGAAGTGGGCCTCATCCAGAAAAATTAAGTGCCACTGTATCCCTGTTGCGTTTCCTTGCTGGGTTAGCTCAAAGTAAACCTCCTTTTGTTAACTGTTCAATGACTTGAGAGTGCCTCATTTTTGTCTCAACATCAAATCTGAACTTCTGCAATGCTAGTATTAGGACTGCCTCTACATGCACGTGTGACATTCACCTCTCATCTCATTGCCTAAGCACTGGTAGTACCCCGTACCTGGAACGTACTTCCTCCTCATCTCCATCTTTTGGAAGCTCTGGTTTTCTTCAAGACTCAGCTGAAGTGCTACTTTCTAAATGAAGCTTTTCTTGATATCCCCAGCTACTAATTTACTCTGTCTCAAAGTTACCTGAACTGAATATAATTCATTTGTATATATTATGTATACAGTTATATATACGTCCACATATGCACCCCTTGTCTTCCCTAACAGAAAGTTAGCTCCTTGAGGTCAGGGTGCTATTTTCCTTTTGTCTTTGTATCTCTAATGTTTAGAATTTAGTGCCTAAAATACAGTAAGTACTTAATAAATGATTAACTTGGAAATTAAAACAAATCTGAGGAAACACCTCACACCTATCAGATTAGCTAATATGTAAAAAAGAAAATGATAAATGTTGGTTGGAGAGGATGTGGGAAAACTGGAACACTATTGCTCGATTGGTGGAGTTGTGAACTGATCCAACCATTCTGGAGAGCAATTTAGAGCTATGCCCAAAGGGCTATACAATCATGAATACCCTTTAACCCAACAATACCACTGCTAGGTCTGTATCTCAAAGATATTAAAAGGGGAGAGAGAAAACCTATTTGTATAAAAATATTTATAGTCGCTCTTTTTGTGCTGGCTAAGAATTAAAAATCGAGCAGGATGCCCATCAATTGGGGAATGGCTGAACAAGCTGTGGTATATGATTTTGATGGAATGTTATTGTGCTATAAGAAATGACAAGCAGGATAATTTCGGAAAAACCTGGAAAGACTTACATGAACTGATGCAAAGTGAAGTGAGCAGAACCAGGAGAACTTTGAACATAGT